TCTCCTCCATGCTGGTTGATTTCAAAAATATCCTTAAGCTGGGTGTAGCTATTACCAAATTGCAGTGATCAAATACTACAGTGCTGCTTGAAGGGGCTGCACAAGGCCTTAGGGAGGAGTCTAAGCCAGGGGAGGCCCTCTCACCCATGGTAATGAGTTGACCATAACTATGAACATATTAGTGACCATTCCTGTTTCCATGTATGCATGCATATAAATTCACTACCCTTGCAAGGCTTTCTCAAGTACAATCCTATCCTGCTCCCAACTAAAAACCCGCAATTTTCCTTGCTGCTAATCAATCTGCTGTGGGCCGTACTACAAACTTAACTTAATACATCACTTGACTACACGATATACAAATAGTTCACTAACATGTGATAATGATCATTCTTAACTTTAAAATAAATGTCATGTAGCCAGCTTCTGCATGCAAGGCACAACCAGCTAACAGCACACCTTTATTCTACTTGCATGACCATTGGATGAAACTATACTGTTGGGTATTTTTCTTTAAATTGCCATAATGTCACCATAATACTTGACATATCTGGTTTCAATGCACTGAAATAAGTGGTGGCTGTTCACAGACTCTGGGCATTCAAATCCATGGTGCATATGCACCAAGATTTGGAGCTGACTTCACCATGCTTGTTTGGCATGACTGATGCGCATATAAACACATAGTAGGCAGCATGGATGAGAGAAGCTTACAAAAAGCAAATTATAGAACCAGGATTACCCATCAGCAAACTCCATAACCAGCATGTGCCAAGTAATGACAACTTGCCCTACAACAATACCTATGTGCTTTGTGGAATGGACAGTTTTTGAAGACAGTGGCAGGACTGCTTGCTTGACAATAGTTCAGTTCCCTAGCAGAGCCATGCAGCTACTGTGAAGGCACCACCATTTCTCCAGCTGTCCAAAACGACTCACGACCAGTGGTGAATACCCAATTTACCCAGAATAAACATAGATTTGCCCATTCCACTCCATTGACATTGGTTTCATTGACCACGGATGTATCATGGTGTTCTGGATTAATCCAATTGCCACAAAACATCGCAATATTATGTTCGGAGGTACACATCAAAGCAAATTACAACGCTCTGGCAAATCATGTTTTTGGCCATATCATTTTGGCCATTGTTGGTCAAAACACACAGTATTTCAAATACACTTCCTTCCTTCTAACAAAAATTGCAGAGCTATCGTAGCTCGTGCGCCACAGACGGCGCGTCCACTGCATTGGTTGTAAGTGGGCGTATATTTGTTTCCAAGTCGCTAGAGCTTATTTTTCTAGAGAGTTTTATCGGTATTTTATGGCATTTACTGACTTTAAAAATGTCCTTAGATTCGCGGAGACCCTAGCGGCCCCGTTCGACCTGTCGTCAGCACGATCTGGAATGCGTGATGTCACGCGTGCTGACGGTGCATTCGAAAGCTGATGAAAGCTTTTTTTATTTAACTTTCCCTGATTTCTTTATCTTTTACTCCACATCACACACTTACTTTGGCCCCGTTCGATCTGTCGTCAGAACGATTGCCAGCTGAAATGCGTGCAAGGGTGTCAATTTTTATCAATTATTGGGGGGCCGAACCGACAACCTACCTCCCCCAATATTTCACTTAAGCCTTTTCACTGAATGTCGGCCCCTTTATTTCGATTAAACGCAATATATGTTTCTAACCTTTGTAGAACTTATGAAAGTCTGCAATTTAGGCAGTATAAAAGTCATGCAGAATTGGATCCAGAGAGCAGGCTCTGGACGCACGCATCTCTTCTGATCGGCAGGTGAATGCGCCACCTCAGGGCATCGATGACGCTCTTCTACGACGGTCATGAGACATGGTGCACATTTTGGTTGTGGAGGAGGGGGATGGGGCCCACCAAGGACTTACATTATCCCCATATTCCAGAGCTTTTCACTTAAGCCTCACAAACCAACACGTGCCTTACGGCGTTAGGTGTGTGAAGTTTATTGCATTGGTTATCCGCTTACTTATTATGATTTTATCTTGTGGTAAGGACAATCATGACCTTTTGTTATGTGAGAGTGGTACGAGACACTGCTACGCAAAAAGATCAAAGAAGTCTTTGTGTTGTGTCTTTGTATTAAGTCTTTGTGTTATGATCACCTTTTATCCACTTTTTAGCATTCCGGCCAAAAAAAAAACATCGGGGAGCCAAGCCAAAAACTTGTACCTGTTCGGCCGACCATGGGCACCTTCAGAGCCCATGGTCGGTCGAACAGGTGCAAGTTTTTATGAACACAAAACGATACAAAATTGGGCGCCTTTGGACTTGCAGGCGAGTAAGAACAGTTGCAAGCGAAAGTAAAGGACCTGCAAGCAGACAAAAGCTTCAATGATTTCAAAGCTGTTTTTTGGGAATTTTGAGCTTCATTACGTTGTCCAGAGGCCCCATGCTCTTTCCGCCTTCCACGTTGCCCTCGATTTTTTGCATTTGCCTGGAGGGCCCTGGCTGTTGCTGGGCCCCCTGCTGGCGTGCCAGAGCAAGGGGCCTTGTCACGTGCCACGTGCCAGAGCAGGGGCCCCCTTGTCACGCAGGGGCCTTCCACGGATTCTTTACATTCGCCAGAAAGGCTCTGTACGCTATAGCTGGGGTCCCATATGTTAACTTGCCGGAGTATTATCGGTCGCTCAGTGGCCTTTTATATTGGCCTTGGTTAACCTACCGTCACACTCGTGGTATGCTCATGGATACTCTAAATTGGTCAGGGGCACTTCCAGTTCTTTGTGATTTGCTTAGGGCCCTACGCTCTTGCCGGGTGTCCATCTGTTAATCTGCTGAGGGCACATCGGTCGTTCGGGGCCCGCCACACTGAGTCTTGGGTTTTTTTCTAATTGAAAAGAGGGCCCCGCACGCTTGTCGGAGTTCCATCTGTGAGCCTGCTTGGGCACACTGAATCGTTTTGGGCCTTGCACACTGAGTATTTTAATGTAGGACCCTACGCTCCCCTCGGGGGCTATCTGATAGCCTGCTGGGGTACACTCGATCTTTTGCATGCCCTCCATGCTGGGTCTTGGGTACTTCTTATTTGAATGGGTGGGCCCTACGCTCTTGTCGGGGACATATCTGATAACCTGCTCGGGCATATCCGATCGTTCGGAGACCTTATGCATTGGGTCTTGGGTGCTTCCTATTTAAATGGAGGGCCCCACGCACTCGTCGGGGGGGCCTCTGTTCGCTTCTTCGGCGACACTGGGCTGTTTGGGACCATGCACATTAGGTTTTGGTGTTTGAAGTTAGGGCCCTGCGCTCCTATCGTGGCCATCTGATAACCTGCTCGGCTAGGCTTCATGTGTCGATAGCTCTCCGCATTGGGTTTTGGTTACCTCTTATTTGAATGAAGGGCCTTGTGCTCTTATCGGGGCTCCTTCTGATAGGCTGGTCAGACACATTGGGTCGTTATGGGACCTCTACATCGCGTAATTCCTATCTGAATGGAGGGGCCTACGCTCTTGACGGGGCCCTATCTGCTAACCTGCTCTGGCGCATTCGGTCATTCAGGGCCTTTCATATTTGAATGGAAGGCCCTGTTTTCTTGACGGGGCTCTATCTGTTAACCTGCTCGGGTACGCTCGATCCCTCCGGTGTCCTCCATGCTGTGTCTAGAGTGCCTCGTATTTGAATGGATAGCCCTGTGCTCTTGGTGAGCCCCCATCTTTTAAGCTGCTCGGGCCGGTGGCTGATACAGAGGGGGGGGGGGGAGATGAGCGGGGGAAAAGCACCGGACCATGCCGAGGAGACCCATAGACTTCGAAGGGGTCGATAACCGGCTGAACGGACGCAGTTTTCTAATAAAAGCAAAACAAAATTGCCGTCTTTAGGTCTACAGGCGACAGTATGGTTGCAAGCGAAAGCAAATAGTTTATAAGCAAGCAAAATTGATTCTTTGCTGATTGAAAATGTGGTGATTAAGGAAATATTTTGGGCTCATTACGCAGTACAAAGGCCTTACGCTGTTGCACGGGCCATGTATAGCCACTTGCCTGGTCGATCTGACTGCCATGGAGCCTTCCACGTTGCCCTTGATCTTTTCACATTTTTCTGTGGGTGATCCCAAGGCTGCCGCTGGGACACTATCTGCTTTCATTCCTGGGCACTCTTGATCGTTCAGGGGCCCTCCACCGATTCTTCCCATCCTACGAAAGGCTCTATATGCTTTTTCCGAGGCCCCATATGTCAGGGTACACCTAGCTGCTCAGGGGCAGCAGCTAGGTCACTCTTTTCACTTGCCCAGAAGACCCTGCACTTGTTGACGGAAGCCTCCTTGTTGGCCTCGCACGCCACCCACGATCGGTCAGGTTATGTTCCTATTGGCCTTGCTGCCTTAGAGCAGCAATCGGATATGCGCCGATGAATTTCTAAGCTCAATCGTCGAACGTAATGTTACGTGCCGCTGACGTCGCACGTGTCATTTTCCTTGACCGTTGAGTATGTGTGACAATGATCAAACTTGTGCATCAAGCTCTTAACATATTTTAATTGCATGACATTTTGTACTCCTTTATTTATAACAAAGAAAAGTTTGCATTAGTCATTAGTCATCGCTGTTTTCATCGCCCAGCCGCCTACCCGTAAATAAGCTAGGAATCAAGTCCGTGCTGGGCTCTGGTGGTATTTAACAGCCAACTTAAGTTTATTTTGCCTGTTTTTCCGAAACGCCTAGATTAAAAATCCCAGGATTTAACGTGATATGGAGAAAATGAATGAGCTCGAAGTATGTGCATACGTAACATGCCTATCTCCATAGGGCTGTGCACAGTGAGATGGATTCCCGTATTTATCCCGTCTTTATCTTCATCCCTTTGAAGATGAAGATGGTAACCTGTGGTCACCAGTTTTAAAACGGCTGGTGAAATTGCATGCGCTCTATCTTCTGGTAAATGCTAAAAGCAGATTAGTTTAGCGATTTCCGAGTTTGGACTTGGCTGCAATGCCCTAAGGTGGTTTAGGCGGTATTTGAAGGTAAAGATGGTGACCTGGGGTCAACGGTTTCTGAACTCCTCATAAAATCGCATGCGCTCTATCTTCTAGTAAAAGTTTTAAGCAGATCGGTTGAGCGGTTTCCGAGTTTGAACTTGGCTGCAATGCCCTGAAGCGGTTTAGGCGATTTTTTAAGGTAAAAATGGTGGCCTGGGGTCACCAGATTCAGAAAGTCAACTTAAGCCGTATAATAGCTTTCGATTGGTGCCGGCTTGAAGAAAATATGGCCAGTAGTTCCGTTGTTTGAAGTTGGCTGCATGGATGGCGGTGAAGTAGTGTTATCCGGCGAGGAGGGCGGGCACCACGGGGAATCTAAACCCGTACCTGGGGTATCTCAGCTGCGTAATGATTAACAAACACGTGTTCACTGCTATACTACCGGCTCCCGGTGACCAGGATCAAACCTTTTGATGCATTTGTTTCACTAGTCGATTCTGAAAAATAATGAACGTTTTCAGGCAAACATGGGATGGCCTTGTGTGTTACAAAGTCTTTTCAACCCACTCCATTCAACACTGACGATACCCCTTATTTCTTTCAGGTGAAGGGGCTCCCTTGAGTATTACACTACAAGGAACATTGTTGTGTTGTCTCACTACAACACTGCAAGGAACATTGTCTTGTATCTTGCACACTATTGATCTTAAAGTGTGACAGCTGGAATGCAGGATATTTTTGGAGGAGTGGCATTGAAGCGCCCAGACCTGCGGTCGGGCCCCTAAATGCGACCCCTGGCCGGTCTTTCGGCCCTCCGGATCTCCAAAACAGTCCCCTAATCGTAGGTCCCGAGGGTTCCGAAGGGCCCCTCGCAACTTATGGAGGACTCGTGCCCCTGTGCCCCTCTCCTGCCTGCGCCACTGGTGCCCAGCGAAAACCATTGACGGGGGTGCTACAGGGTAAGGATGATCCCATAAGCTTTCTCGAGTGTGATTATTTGTTATACAGGGGTTGGACGCATGGAAAAAAAACTTCCTCCTCGCCCCTCCCCTTCATCCATGCACCCTGGAGAATGCAGTTATGTTTAGTATCTTTTTAGCTCAAAGAACTCCTTCGCATCATTGCTTTGATTCCGAACACTGTCCCTATGCGGTTTTTTTGCCATTTCAGAGGTTGAGACACGCCAACCTGTAACGCACCATTTATCATATAGCATGCCCTCGCATTTAATAGCATTTTATACTCTGATCTGGTAGCATTCTGATAACATTGCTGTTGAATTCACGGGCTTATCTTGAGATATTTTGTCAGGAAAAGTCCGTAGCGACTTGGAAACAAATATGCACCATCCGTGTATGTGTTGCATGTGTTCATCTGTTTCAGACGTATTTCTGGGAGAAAAGGGTGCAGGAAGTGTGAGCTGCGAAAACCCCAAAGATCGGGCCTTTGGATAAGCTCGGATGGTCCCGTTAATTTCAGTTAATAACTGCTATAGTTGTATCCCTGTTGTTTGATCCTGCATAACTGTAGTTTGTGTCACTAATCACTCACTGATGGATGCTGACAGTAACTCCAATGGGGTTGCGGTGAACGGCACAGCGGTGAGTTTTCTTTGGTTTGTTGATGCATCACACAAGAAAATATGTTGATAGTCCTTGCACTCAATGTGTATCACCTTTTATCAGTCCATTCTTCTTTAACTATGTGGTTTAGCATTTGGTTTACCATCATAGTTTGACATTAGTCCAAATACCTAATAAAAATAAAAGTATGATGCCTATGTAGGCATTGCTATTTATCATTCATGAGTGGGGATTGACATAGATTGACTTTGAAGCAGACAAGTTGTTTCATTCTTTTATGCTCTCAAAGAGGGTGTTACATTATTGAATAACTTATGAAATGTAAATAATTTTACTGTGAGTAAAATGACTACCTTTTAGAGGAAAGCAACTTTTTTGTATAGATGTGACCCTTTTTCCTCATGTCAAAGCTAGGTTGTCAGGAAACAGCTGAAACAATTGCTGATGCCATGCTATCATTAGTGTAGGAGGACTGGCATGTATTGCTGTTTGCAAAAACTGGCTAAAGCTGCCTAGACCTTTGCATAGCAAACCATGCTGCTGCAAGCCAGTGATGTGAAATGGACCAGTATGGTTATATTAAGTTGTTTTAGAAGGTGTTGGCCAGATATTTGCCAGCAGAAACTTTTTATTGGCATGCTTAAGTGGCATCCTAAACCTAATAAGGGCATGAAACCTGAAATCAGGACCCCTAAATAATAATATAGGCTGCTTAAGCTGGAAGTGATTACCTTGTCCTGATTTGGCTCTCTCCTAAGCAAAGTCTTGATGATGCTGTATCATTGGCAGCTGATGTTATAAAAACCCTAAATCAATATTACCATCATTGTCATCATCATGATACCACTGACCAGCATGTAATAAATTTCATTAGATTTGGCAGTTGGCTGCCTGATCTGAGCAGACCTTGCCACCTTTCGCTTACCCATAAAGACATGGCAAAATCAGACTGATGATAGTCTGTGTTACTGAATGTGGACAAGGTGGTAATTAGGGCCCTGGTGCTTAGACTGCTGTGACAGAATACTTAAACTTTGAAACAAGTGGTCTTAGGGTCATACTGGATGCACATAACATACATCAGTTCAATTCAATTTTGGTACAGGTGATGAAATATGGATTTTGCAACCTTTAAGACCAGCCAATACTTCTAGCTACAAAACCAGAATTGGCTTCACCAGAAGAGTAATAGAAATGCAAAGGTAGGATCAGTGGTGCCTGGGTTTGTGCAGATTATGTTCTTATCATGGTTATAACCTTTGGTTATTGTGGGTTTTTGTTTAAGTTGGTGGATTGAATGGGTTGTTTCCTATAATTTGACAGCTCAAAACAAGTAGGTATGCAATATTAGGAGATTCATAGCTAGTAAAAAAATATGCTAAGACTTTAACAGCATTATAACTCTATGCCAAAATGGAGTTCAGTGTTTTTCATGTATGTAATTGTTGAAGGCACAGGCCTAACACTGATTTATTTAGCTTATGGGATGGTTAAGTATTTTTAAGAATGGCAAACTTGTTTCTTTAGATGTGGTGAATTTGTATAAAAATGTATCCAATTATGCACCACTCAAGCTTATCCAGTCTGATATAGATAATGTGATCTTGAAGTTTAGAATATCTTCAGCAAATTTGCTGCTGAGTACATGCATGTTAACTGCTGGCATGGTGTCTCTCAGAAAATGCATCCTCCATCTGTTACCCACAAGATGCAGGCAACAGCTGCCATCTGAATTTGGAACTGCTATTGAGCACCAATTTTTGACCTGGAATAAAAGCACCAAGAATAATGACCAACAGTGGTGACCATTGGCAAATCATATCATTGCAGTTTCTAAAACATCATCCCACATTTGTGCCAAACAGTCAATGCACTCATTGAACTGAGTTATGAGGGTGGCATGAACCATTGTTTGTGTTGATATGGTGCTCACATTGTGAATACTATGGTGAAATATGGATTGGCTGACATAATGTGTTTGTTCTCAGCAGATGTTAAAAAGCTGCTTGGAATAGGTTGATGTTTACATCAGCAGTCAGCAGTGCATGAGGGATGGGCTTGGGTTTTTAGACTCTCATATTGGATGCTCTTTGATTATGGTTGGAGTGATATTCTATCATGTTTTGTGAATCTAAATACTATTTTAAGGACATCCTTTTTCACTGTGGTGGCAACTCTTTGTTTTTTTAACATCCTTTTGCAGAAAAAACACCTGGTTTCATGTTAATGGTGATAATCAACTTGAAGTGTGCTTGACATGCTTGACACATCTAGCCTTAAATATTGCATCATTATGCATTGTGTGTCACCATCATGCACTCTGGCAGAGAAACTGTGTAAAGTTAGGCAAAAAACAATGTCTCCTCCATGCATTTGTGGGTCATGTGCTCCAAGACCAAAAAGGTGTCCCTTTAACCTGCCAATGGTAGTGGAAGTGCTGCTCCTCTTGATTTGCCTGATCCAGTGTCCCAGCTCCCTAAAGCACCTGTCTTTGAATTCACCCACATGTGACAGGATGGGTTTGAGTTTCATCAAACACTGGCTGTTTCTCCTGACTTATGATCTGTGGCTGATGGCAGCAGCTATGGTAAATGGCAGTCCATGCCAGAGTCATGGTCATAGTCATGCATGCATATTTCTCCACATGGTGGTTATTATGAATTTGGTTTAAGTGTTTGCTTAATGCTGGAAAATACTAGACAAAACACCACAAAACAAACCAGCACAAGCACTAGGAAAATGCAGGTATCACCCAAAACACTCCATTTATTCCAGTTGTGATGGTTTGTGTTCTAACTGTTCCTTGGACTTCATAGAAGCATATATTTGGCATTCATTGTGATAGCAAGGCAGATGGCTGTGACCCTTATCCTTTTGTTTCATTTCAAACTGGCTCCTACTGACTGAATACAAATAAGGCAAATTTCAGAATTGACTCAAGCCCAGCCCAGAGTCCAGCACAAGTCAGTACAGGAACCAGTGTGCTAAAAATGCAAGAACTGTGGCACTGTACAGTAGCTCGGGTGTCCTATGTTCTTGCCTCCAGTAAATTACATTTGCAGGGAAATAGCTCTGAAATAGCAAAGACTTAGAAACAAAGCGATGTTATGGCCAAAGAACCTAATATGATATGCTGCTTTCAGATGCCAACAATGCCATCCAAGACTCCAGTTTCGCTTCTGCAGGAGCTGTGTGCCAAGCGGGGCATCACTCCCAAATATGAACTTATCCAGGTATGACTCAATGGGATTTGACACCACCACCTGATGAACTACACTGATTGACTCACATTGTTTGTCTGCACTCATATGTAGACTCACGTTCTTATAAGCTGGGCAATCGTGATCGCGTAAATTAAGTTCTTATAAGCCAGCGTAACGCGTACTTATCACACCAAGGCATGTCAAAGGCGTTTAACTTTGAAATAGCTCATTTGCAAATTGTCCATTAACCTGGGTAAAGTGGACCCAAGCTCTTCACCACGCCGCTGGTCTGTGCATAAGGCATGCACCTCTTCGCCTCAGCGGCCACAGCATTCCGCGACGACGGACCAGCCGAAGGGCCAAGAGCATGAGCACCGCACTGTCCGCCCAGTGGACCCAGGCGTGGCTGAGAGGAGCGCCCGTTGGCCGTCATGCTGTGGCCGGCTGGCGCGCTGCGGCGCCGGCCGACCCGTCGCCCCTCGGCCCCGGTCCGCGGACGTGACAGTGCGTGCCGTCGCCGCAGGTGGAGGGCGCCGTGCACGAGCCGACCTTCCTCTACCGCGCCACGGTCGGCGAGTTCATCGCCAGCGGTCAGGGCCAGAGCAAGAAGAAGGCCAAACACGCCGTGGCCAAGGCCGTGCTGGACATGGTGCTCGGCAACCAGGCGGCGCCGCCGGGCGCGCCGGCGCCGGCCGCGCAGGCCGAATCGCCGCTGGAGCAGCTCGTCTCGCCGTACGACGACGGCATCCCCGGCAATCCGGTGGGCCAGCTACAGGAGCTGTGCATGGCGTACCGGTACCCACCGCCGGCCTACGAGCTGTCGGCGGAGGAGGGCCTGCCCCACGAGCGCACCTTCACCATCGCTTGTCGCATCGGCACCGCCTTCACCGAGACCGGTGAGCGCCAGCGGCCGGGCCGCCGCTCGCCTGTGCAGGCGAGGCGCCCGGTCGGCCCGCAGGTCGATGGACTGCAGCGGGTTTGTGTCGTTCGGAACGCTGGTATCCTGATGGGAACTGCAGCGCGTCGTAGATACGCGCGCTGCGGGACGTCGGTTTGGGCCTGGGTTTCAACATGGAGCTCGCTGCCTCCACAGAGCCGGCTCTCACTGGTCCCGTTTGTGGCCTTCGTGCTTGGGGCGTTGGACCTGCCAACAAAGTTTGTCAGTCATGTTTTGCTAGAACAAGCAGTTTGCGCTTTGTGTTGGGACACAACGATGTGGATTGGGCTGCTGCTATATTGAGAATATCAGTATGGGACACAGACATTCCATTGTGTACGAAAAGAGAAAGCTACTAAAACAGGGACAAAGACACCAAGTTAGGCACGAGAATGTGCCACAAAATTCTGCGCTTGTAATTTAAGAGCAGTGTTGAGGTTGCCAACTCTCTATCGTAGTGATTGGCCATGTGCTGGCCGTTCAGGGACGAGTGATGGGGTGATGACCATGTGCTGGTCGCTCAGGGACGAGTGACGGGGTGAGGTGCCGATCGCAACCCTGGCTGCTCGTCAGGCTGCCGTCGCGTCCTGTGGACCGTTCAGGGACGAGTGACGGGGTGAGGTGCCGATCGCAACCCTGGCTGCTCGTCGGGCTGCTGTCGTGTCCTGTGGACCGTTCAGGGAAGAGTGACGGGGTGAGGTGCCGGTCGCAGCCCTGACTGCTCGTCGGGCTGCTGTCGTGTTCTGTGCGCCGTTCAAGGACGAGTGATGGGGTGATGGCCGATCGCAACCCTGGCTGCTCGTCGGGCTGCTGTCGTGTCCCGCGGGTCGTTCAAGGACGAGTGATGGGGTGATGACCGATCGCAACCCTGGCTGCTCGTTGGGCTGCCGTCGTGTCTTCTGCATGTCTCAGCACCATGGTTTGCTCGAGCAGTGTTCGGTTCGGTCGGCGCGCCCGCAGCGCCGTCTGTCGACTGCACATGCTGACCGAGCCGTCTGCTCGCCAGGTGTGGGCAAGTCGAAAAAGATCGCCAAGCGGCAGGCGTCAAACCTGATGCTGAGCAAGCTGCGCGAGGCGCCGCCGCTGGCTGCGGCGCCGGCGGATGCCGCCGCTGACCCGGCCGCGTCAGAAGCTCACGACCCGCAGGTTAGGCCCCGCGGGGCGCCGCTTGTGGTCGGCGCCGGCTGCCACAAGGTTGGCTGGTACATCGACTGTGGCAGCCGTTCCCTTTGCCGCCCGAGGCTTTTGGACCGTCTCGGCGGGGTGTGGTGCCGCATTTGGGCGCGGCCGGTTTTTGCGGAGGGCTGTAACATGCGCGGCCGGTGTGGCAGCCGTTGCGTGGGCCGTGGTGAGTGTGACGCGCCGCCGGCCTGCGCCGCCGTGGGCCTGGTCGTGGCATTGCGTGTGTGATCCCGCATGTCTGGTGAGCCCGCTGTGCGTGCGGCCGTCCGTACCACGCCCTTATCCGCCCCGGGAGCGGACAGCGCCTGCTGCGCGGCGTTGCTCTCGCACGCTCTCCTTGGGCCGCAGGACACCGGTCTCGTTTCGTTGGCGTGCCTGTCGCCGGAGGATAGTAGCCCGGCCGATCCGGGAGACGCTCCCGCGCCGCAGCCAGCGCAGTGTTCCGGTAAATCACGCTCTCGCTGCGCCGCTGGTCTGGCGGTGCGCTTCAAGGGCCATTTTGTGATATCGGCGGAGAGGAGATACGCAGCCGGCGCGGGGTAGCCGTCTCCCCTCCCGTCTCCCGTTGTTTGTCCCGCCTTTGCTTTTGCGGGCGTGCTATCCCGTCGGCTGGTGGTGGCAGGTGTTCTGCTCGCTGACGCCGTCGGCTGCTGCAGACGGTTACGCCCGTTGAGGCGGCAGCGGCGCAGACGAAGTCGATCTTGATTAGCACGCAGGCCCAGCTTCGTCACTGCTCACTCCTTTCTGCGGTCGGTCCGATCTCAGACATGACAAAATCACAGACCTGCTTTGTTTGGTTTGGAAGTGGCGGGGCAGGTCCGAGATGGCTTGGCCAGCGTACCCATCCTCGCACGAATCAGCCGGCATTTCGGTTGGCTGCTCTGCTGGAATGGCTTGTTGCACTTTCTCCGCTTGGACTGGAAATGCAGCGCCCGCTCCCCCTCCCTCCTCCAGTGTTTGACCTTCTGTGCTCTCTCCTACTGTTTTCTTTTGAGCCTCCGTAGTGACGATCACTGCCATCTTGCTTCGTTAGTACAAGTGCATATTATTGTGATCATGCCCTGTGTAGCTGAGCTTGTCCCAATGTTTCAGTGTAGTTTTACATGCATGCATTGCGCCCATAGCTCATGGCGCCGGCGCGCTCGTCGGACGCGGGCGGGCGCTCCCAGAAGGGCGCGCTTGTCACCCGGTGTCAAGGCACGGGTGTGGTCCGGCCGGCATCTGACACCCGAGTCTGACTCGGACTCTGCCCGCCAGGCGGTACAGAAGCTGGCGGACCACTTCTCGGGCCTGATGTCGAGTCAGATCCCGCCGCTGACGGCGTCCAGCAGCGTGCACGTGGGACAGTTCCACCGCAACCTGAAGGCGGCCGCCGGACCGAAGCTCTTCGAGCTGCGGGTACGGCCCTGACCGCCGGCAGCCAGCGCTCCGGGACGCGGCGCCCTCCCGGTGCCGTTGCGCCGCGGTGGCGGTTTGTGCTGGGCCCCTCGCGCGGTCGTTCACGAGGTGCGCTCGCACGCGCGGTGCTCGATGGGCGCGAGCGAAGCACGCTCGGCCTGAACATGCTCTTTCGCTCACGGAAGACGATCAAGGGGTACTGTTTGAGACTTAACACCAAGCAGCCGAAATTCGTTGGAGGGCGGTGTGTTGCGCCGAATGTGAAGCCCGCGACGGTATGTGTGTGTGTCTCATGCGCTCTGTGTTCTCGACAGGAGACGGCGCCGAACCAATCGACGTGGAACTGCGTCCAGTTCCTGCAGGAGCTGGCCTTGGAGCAGACGTTCCCAATCACCTGGGTTGATATCGACGAGAAGTCATTTGAAGGTATAGCTTTGCTGTCTCTTGTAGTCACACTCCTGCTCGCCGCAGTCTTGAATCGGTATGTGCTTTCTTGCGCCTTAGACACACTGCGTCAGCTCCTCCACCGCAACCGACAGCGGCTGGCTGTTGATCCGCCGATGACTCTGTGTTTAGCAGTAAAGTGCCGACCCCTCGTCCGCTTATGTCTAACACCTTTTTGATGAAATTTCTAGCAGATATACAGTTATTTGCTTGGGGTCCAGTGTCCAAAGGTCTATGATTTTCAGCTTCGGGATGTCTTCGTTTCGTGCGCACATGATGCACTGCGGGGGGGGGGGGGGTGGGGGCATCATCGCCGGTTGCTAGTGTCATAACGGAACACCCAGCCACGCTGTTAGTTTTAATGAATCGGCTAGAATATTGACTGCAGTCAAGCTGATCAGTGCTTAGATTTGGCAAGTTACCGTGGACTGTATTTTAATCTTTATGATCAGATTTAGCTATTTCTGACTTGCTCAATGTTAAAGAACAGATTTAGTTGTTTGTCCATATGGGAATAGGGTATTCTACAGCAATTTATGGTGTCTTCTTCCATTTTTCGGGCTGATCAGGCTGTGCCTAGCCCAGTCCTTCCCCAACGTGCTGCATTTTGCATGTCGCACTGTTCAACGGGTGGGTGCTTTGTCGGCTTGGATGGGAGCGTGCAGTATTTTGTGACGGGCCTCAGCCGTGACAGCACCTTGGTCTCGCTCAGGTTGTGACCATGCGTACAACGCCCCCCCCCCCCCCCCCCTTTAAACTGTGATCGCCACATGGCGCTCCGTCTGGAAGACCGGCATTCTCCGCTACCAGTGCACTGCTCTGCACTACATAACGTGTTGGTCATCGTGCTAGCTAGCGACAGGCTAGCGACAGGCAGACCTCCGAGCGACCTGCGCTCTGCCACGGCCTATGTCTTCGTCACGTCGTGTTTTCCTGCTGCCCTGTCCTCCGGCGTTGGGCGGCGGCGGCGTCGCCCGCTCTCCTTCGGGTGTCGGTGGCCATCGCCGGTGTCGGGTGGCCATCGCCGGTGTCGGTGGCCATCGCCGGTGTCGGGTGGCCATCGCCGGTGTCGGTGGCCATCGCCGGTGTCGGTGGCCATCGCCGGTGTCGGGTGGCCATCGCCGGTGTCGGGTGGCCATCGCCGGTGTCGGTGGCCATCGCCGGTGTCGGTGGCCATCGCCGGTGTCGGTGGCCATCGCCGGTGTTGGTCGGCGGGCACGCGCTGCCTCCGGCGACGCTCACCGTGCCGCCGTCCGCCACAGATCGCTGCCAGTGCCTGGTCCAGATATCGACACTGCCCGTCGCCGTCTGCTACGGCGTCGGCGACGACCCGGCTAAGGCCAAGGCCGACGCGGCGCACAACGCGCTGCAATATCTCAAGATCATGGTGAACAAGTGAGCTGCCGGTCGGGGGCGCGCGTCGGCCGAGCCCGACCCCCGGCCGAACCCGGTTCGGACGTTCGCCACCCCACCACCAGGGAAGTGACGCTCCAGCATACAGCAGCGCCTGCTGACTGACCCGGCAGTGAGCAGCGGCGTCACCACGTGTAACCGTACAAGCGTGCCGTCAGCTTTGGGTACTGACGGCCGTCAGTTTTAGTTCGCCGCGGGACGTGTGTCCCGCGCAGTTGGTAACTCCTCGCGTCGATGATTGTGTGCATTTCACAAAGAAATGCAGCCGATTTAACGGTGGTCGCGGTACGTTCCCTGGCCAATTTCTGTATTCACCGTCACAATGATCAACTGCTGACTGCAACCCCAAAGCTGCCAGGGAGTGGCCCAACGCTGGCCCATGTGCATCGACCTCGTAATGGGAAATCTGCGTAGTGCGCGATCCACGCTGTTTTTCCACTTGATGTGATCTTCTCGGCTGGTACTTGTTGTGGTGCTAGAAAATTCATCGTACTGGACCGGTGCGGGGTCCGGTCGTCCGCGGCTCTTTTGTTTGTGACGTAATTGACAACGCTGTTGCGTAATTGAACGTTTGTTCCGAGCTTTCGCCCGCCGATGCCGACTATTGTCGTTTGTTACCGCGAGATAAACGGTTTTGAATGCTAAGCTTAAATTGGTGACAGGCCTGGTTTCATTGCGTTCGCCCAAAGCTCGCGTTCGCTTGCTTTATGTGCCCCAAAACCCCAGGGTGGAAGTGACGTGGGTGCCCAGCCGCCAGTTTTGGCCAGTAGCGTAGCGGAGGCCCGAAGTTGGGGCGCGGCTCCGGTTGTAACGCGGCCAGGAGCCGAGCACCCTTCAGCTGCCAGCTGGGAAGCCACGCGTGCGCGGGCTGCGGCTCACCGCCCTCGGGTGGTGGCCTGTCGGCGTCCTGACCCGCTAGGCGGGCCAGTGGGACGCGGCGTGACCCGCGTCTCTTCTCACCTCGCTGGAATCTGCTGCCGTCGATTGGGCGTTGTTTTATACCGTGTTGGTCGGCTGAGGCCCAGCCGGCGGCGATTGCGGAAGCCGGCCGGGAGCGTCGCAGGTCACGCGTGCGCGCGCTCGCCTCCGCCGTTTGTGCGTATTGTGTACCGTGTAGAGGGCGCGGCGGCCGCGCCGGCGCCCCGCTGTACCGGCCGGCCAGCCGCGCCCGCGTGCTGGCGCCGATGGCTCTGAGTTTGTTCGCGCCAGGTGTGAGGCCCCTGACTAACCGCGCAGCCGCGCGCTGCCGCTCTCCCCTCTCCCCTCTGTCCCCGCTCTCTCCGCTCTCGTGCGTACCGAGCACCTGGCACCTACCAACGCAGAGGCAGCTGGCCTCGAGCAGCCATTGTGATCCAGTCGGGGCCCGCGCTGGTGGGCCCAGACCGCGCGCGCCTGCCGCCGGTCTGGGCGCGTGTAGCACGAGCCGTGACTGCAAACCGCCGCCAGACGGCGGGTCCGGCACTGCCCGGCCGGCGCGCCGGGCCCGGAGACGGCCTCATGGTGTCGGTCTCGTGACCTGGCGGCACCTCTAGTCCTGCGGACTCAGCTGTGAACCGACGTTGTGCTGCGCGCGCGTGTGCGTGTGCGTGTGCGTGTCAGAGTGCATATGTGTAATATAGGTGGCAGCGAATCCCTCGCCGTGTGTTTCCTGGTTCGGGCTGTCGGCAGTGATACATTGCACAGTGATATGGCTAAGAAGCGGGATGCGCTGGGTGAAGGTTCATCTATTGAAATGGTCCTACACAAGCTGAAAAACATGCTTACTTATTGATATAGGTGCGCCAGGAAATAGCCTATCTTTATTTTGAAAATATTATATTTATTTAGCCGCAGTGCGGCGCCAGCACAAACAGTCGCCAGTGGCATGTCTTCGCAGCTGTGTGCATCACTGATGCGAGATGTGTGTATCATCACATCACATCACTGATGCGAGATGTGTGTACCCGCGAGGCCTATAAACGGCGCTGAATCGGTGGCATCGGTGCTTTGACATGAGGTAGACGATTTCTGGGTGTCTGTCGATTCAGACACTAAACCCTTCCGATGACCCAAAATTGACCTCAATTTCCAACGTTAACATTGTCTTGGTCAGAATTGACTAGGTATGGTGCCTTTGCGAGAAGTGATTGGATCGTGATTCGCGTCAGTGTGAGGTGGAAGACTTTGTAATATTAGTGTTTCCATTGCATTAGTCTCCTCACCCTAAGTTTCATCACCTCACCTGTGCCTGGAGCGGCATGGATGTCACCACGACCTAACCAGCCATTCCGTCGCTCCCTCGGTGCACAGTTGGTGCGGGCCAGCCATTGTAAAGATCTCGCGTTGCTGGCCGGCGTTTCACGTCAAACATCAATGTGAAACACACTGCACTTAGTGGCCACATCCATGCATCGCGCTTCAGTTCTACGCACACTTGATCCGCCTGCCACACGGTGTGCCAGCCCGGAAGAGTTCGTTTAGCGTTTACCTCAGAACAACCCCGGCCCAGCGCACCCGGAGGGCAGCAACGCGTTCACCGCACGTGGATGTTGCATCAATGGCCTTTTTCAAATTAGAATTGGTTCGCAAATCTGACCCGTTGCCCTTCAGTTCCAAACACAGTCTGTCGACTTGGAAAGAGCCTGAACAATGAATCGGGATCAATCACACACTTTGTCAGATTTCTGCGTGCCCGGAACACGTGAAGGCCCCCGCCCCCTGCCCTCCACGTAAAGACCGCAGAGTCCCACCCTCTTTGGCCCGTCTCCAGGAACCTACCCCATAGTGGCCACGGTGCGGAGCGCCTCGAGTGACCGAGATCCACGGCTTACGTAGTGTGTGCGCCGGGCTGATACAAGCCTTTCGATTGCGCATGCGCACCACCCAGCTATAGCATCTGGCACACCTGATCCGAAGTTTTCAACCGCTTGGCGGCCGACCTCGGCCTCCCGAGCCAGCGTGGCCGCCACCCACCATCCAGCAAGAGTTCTCTAAATCAGCTGAACCTTGGTGCCGTTTACAGCCGAGGCCCACGCCATACACAAAGGACGGTGCCCGCCTACCGTTCCAAGCGCCAACAACGTCGACCGCGGAACGGCACGCGAGCGCCGCACCGCCGTGGTTGAAGATGTGTGCAACATTCGCCATTCACCCCGTTCACTCAGCTCTTATCTCGTGCGGCGCTACCGCCGGCTTCCGGATGAAAAAAGCCTCCTCAGTGGTCCGGCGGAAAGATACTACAGTAATTATCCAGATATGAATCCCAGAGAAAGTGCACTGACTTGACTGGCACGCAATGGTGAGCTGGCAGCTGCTCCGTGGCGGTGAGCTCAGCCGGTAGGAGACCGTGTGGCGTCATTGTGTGGCACGTAAGATCCCCCGCCCATTTTTTCATCGCACTCCCGCGCAAGGCACACGTCGCACGCCCTTTATGGCTCGCCCTCTACTGCGGGCGCCACATTAGTGCTAAGGGACCATCGCGCAACTGGGGATCAAATACCTGGGGCCCCACGTGGGAGCCGAATAAGCTAGCCACTCGGACATTACGCCCTTCACCAATCAATCCAGGGCGACCCGTCTAAAATACCGGAATATATTGATACCATAAAAGTTATGACAAGTTGTCTGCGAGGAAGAATTTTCTATTGTGTAAAATCTGACGCCTTTTGGCCTGACTTAGGGTCACCGAATTTGGAACTGCAACAGGGAACCCTGTATGGGGCATCCAATGGTGAAGGTTTGGCAGTGATCGGTCTAGCAGGCCCTGAGATCTGGATTGTCTGCATTTGCATGTACAGTTTTCCCTTCGCCTTTTCGTAGTGTTTGACCTTGGGTCAGGTCTCAAAATTATCATGTTATCACTCATCTCATTGCAAGGAATCGATCAGTTAAGGTTTTAGGACGATCGGACGAGTCGTCTCGGAAAACTTGCATGTCTGCGTCATATGCCGGTTTTTTAGACCGCTGCTAGCAGAATTGGCGCCCGATGATTTGACTTCAAATGCTGCGCGTATTGGACTTACTGAAACTTGCATAACTAACGCATGATCCCTAATGTTGTTTTGATCGTACGTGAGGCTGTTGGGGACGGTGTGGTCAGTGGACGGGGTAGGGATTTATGTGCACGATTGGGTTTACAATAATTTTAAGACAAGTTCGAGCGTTGTGTATAGTATCGTAAGCAGGTGTCCACAATTAAGCTGGTTAGGACAGAACGGAAGATGTGGCCTTTGAGGAGGGATTGTTCTTTAAGAATGCTGGGTTGTTATTCGAGTGTAGGGCAGACTGGAAAATGCGTGCTGCTCCAAATATGTCAGTTTTAGTAGTATGATTACAAAAAGTCAACATCTTTATTGGGAAACTTTTGGATCATGCTCAACTATAGACACCCGTAGTACACTAATTGTTTCTTGAGTGCAGGAGAAGGGTCAAAACAAAAATAGCATAATAACGTTACCTTTATTTGCTAATTTAATGGCTATAATAGTATAGGCACTCAAAGGGCTTGAACACTAATTGCGATACTGTGGTGCACCTTTTGGCAGTATCTTGAAACTGTTAGTGCTACCCTTTTTCTTTTTCTCTTTAAGGTGTGAGCTTTTGCATACTTATGTTTGATTGGCTAGCATGCACCCGAACATGATGTCTTTACATAGTAGGATTATAATGTTAGGTTAGATAATGTGATGATTTTGCATAAGGTGATGTTATGTGTGCCTGGATCCCAGGGGTGAAGCCAGGATCTTTTGGCTCCATATTTTGGGGATCCTTGTATGAGCCCCTTGAACCAATTCCGGCCTTGGGCCAAACTTAAAAAGTTACCTGGAAGCATATCCACATGTTCTAGTGCAGTAGAAATTGAATTTAAGTAAAATTTCAGTGCACATGCATATGCAACATGTTGTAAATTCCAGTGCTTGAAGTTTGGTAGACAGTAGAGCCAATATTGCAGGAAATAATGATGCTGGGAAGGAAATTTTACACCTACTTCCAAATATTTCTTGCACTTACGTGATTCAACCATTGAGCACAAGGTGTCCTGGCCAGAGCTTGGTGTATGCTGGTGCGAGCAGGTTCAATACACCAGGGTTGAGTAGATGTCTGTTGCATTAGATGTATTTTTTGCAGGCTGGGTCCCTGGCCCATGCGTGGATGGAACACTGCCTGTGTGTTAGGATTACAATGTATATGCCATTGTCTGTTTTCAGGGACTGAAAACTGGATTTTGACATGAACAGGCTCTACTTTATCCTTGTTTGTTTCAGCTTGAACTGATGTCTTCCATATAGTTACAAAACAAGAGAAGATGACTTCAAATGCCACTCCTGCCCCAGAGCCATGCCACCTGGCCACTCTTCAGAAGTATTTTGGGCATCTGCAGTTCAGAGCCAAGCAGTGGGACATTATTTGGAGAGTCTTAAATGTAGGCAGAATGTGCATGTTCTACATCATAAGAGTGTTTATGAATTGTTTGAAGTGTTTTGTAGTTTGTTGTGCTGCTGAACTTCTGCTGTTGAACTTGATTGCACTGCTGAACATCTTCTGTTAGACTGTGCCCTCACTTATCATGCTTATATCTGATTTTGAAATTATGAGATGTGTCATGTTAACTTTGTTGTGGTGTGCCTGAACTTTGTCTCTAAAAATTAGAGCCATCAAGTCATCAGGGTCATCATCAGGTCATTCAAAGTTGAACCTGGCTCATCTAAATGGGAGCATGCCAGCTTGTGTTGCTTGGCATGCTGTTTCAATGACTATGAACCACGCAGTACACATTATGTTCAAACAAATTTGACTGAGAAATATTTTTCCCAGTCCAAACCGCTTTGGTTGTCAGGTATGCAGTGACTTCTCCATCCACTCAGTAATGCGTTCTGTGCTGGCGAGCCACCCTCGTTACCGCCAGCACCCGCCGCAGGGCGCGTGTGACCAGCTGGCGGTGATGGCCACCGGGTCGGGCAAGTCGCTCTGCTACCAGTACCCGGCCGTGCACCGGGCCGGCCTCAGCGTGGTGGTGTCCCCGCTCATCTCGCTGATGGAGGACCAGGTCCTCTCGCTGCAGGTGCGCGGGCATCCTCCGCTTCAGACTCCTGGGTCTGGCATCAGCATGGGCTGGCTGGCGTCAGCGTGGGCGTGGGCGTGGGCGTGGGCGTGGGCTGGCTGGGGAGGGGGGGGGGGGGCAGATTGGGTTCTGGAGTGGCCAGGGTATGTTGCCTGCATCACTCTTCCTGGCTGCTGGGGGAGGGGGGGGGGGGGGGGGCAGGCGCTCGCGTTGTATGCGATTATGTCACCCCGCCGTCCGGCGCTCGATGCCGTCAATATGGACTCCGTGGGCCATAGAGGCCGCGCCACACAGTAGCATGAGGTATTTATCAACATCTATGCTATTTTTTGCTCCTTTATAGAGGAATGATGGTCTGAAAGGTACACTTATTGTGTTATTTGGTGAGCATTAACGCCCACCAAATTGTGCGCAATGCCCCCCTCTCTCCCCAAAAAACACTTGCATGCAATGACCTCAATAGCTCCTAGAATATCTCCTTAACATTAGGCACTTTGTTAGACTAAAGATGATGACCGCAGTCTGTGTTAACCCCCCTACCAAAAGCAGCAGCTGTGTAAGCTGCTGGCCATGTTCCAGCTGTCGGGGATCGCCGCCTGCCTGCTGGGCAGCGCCCAGACCCGCTCCGGTGAGGTGATGCGGGACCTGCGGCAGGGCAAGTACCGCGTCCTCTACATCACGCCCGAGTTCGCCGTCGGTGAGTGCCTGTACAGGTCGCTCCGCGGTGGCCGTCAAGGGACTGCTGTGCGTAGAGGTCTCGCATAAACCCGTACAGTGCTCTCTTCCACAGTGAATTGTGTGACAGGTGGAGTCACCGGTAATCCGTAAAGGCTGTAATGTTGCCATTTTCAATTATTTACATGGTTGCCCGGATTTTGTCACAGCTCACGGCGGGCACGTCCCCAGCGGCGTTCAGACCGCCCAAAATGCTGAAAGTACGGCAGTAATGAAAAACGCACTTATTTTGGGTGACGTTTAGCGGCAATGAACCGAGCCATGTGCCTTCATCCTGGTCTCATGGCGTGGTGTGTCAGCTTTACCACTTCCTGTAACTTCCATCATTTTTGCAATGTTGTCTTCGTCATGCTGTACAGCGATGCGAAAACTTAATCATATCTCGGAAGACTGTGGCAGCCCTTTTACCAAGAAGTGCCGAACAGCACATCTCGTTCCGATTTTTTTCCGTTTCCTAAAATTGTACATAGGTATAGGGCTGTCTTCACCACAAGGATCCCGTATCCAATACCGCACCTCTGCAAACTAAATGAGTGTTCACTAATAGCAAACTCTGCAACTGATTTGCGGGCATGTCAGCTTTGTCTGCATCTGTCCGTTTACGCGTCTTGTAAGACATCAGTACGAACATTGTGGAACATTCCGGGATTCTAGGGGACACTTATGACATGTAACGCTTGATTATGTAGTGTAGCGATGCGCGATCAGTTCAGACTGGTACTACGCACTTAGCAAGCGCAGAAACGGTCAGGTGCAATGGTTGCACTGGATGGTATGGTAGCTGTCGCTCACACGGGCTTCACTACGCACTCAGTTGCTGAGGCGATATGACTTGGCCTGCCTCCCATCCTGGCAGGAAGGGTGGGCACCGCGGGAATTCCAAACCGTGGCTCTGGTCTTCCAGACGCAAGGCTGAGCCATTACACTATTGGCACCCCGCAGGATATGGTGAATTTGCGTCATTAGTCGTGAACAAGCAATGTATCCCCCCTCCCCCAGAAAATATGCAGTTTCTGCAAGAGCTGGTCGACTTCGCGGGCGTAACGCTGGTGGCAGTGGACGAGGCGCACTGTGTCAGCCAGTGGGGTCACGACTTCAGGTCCTCCTACAGGTCCGTCTGCTCCCTGGGACCTACCGTCGGTTAGACTGTTGTGCAGCTCAGGCGTTCGCGACGGATGGGCCAGACCATACATCTGATCCGTCATCACCACCTGGGTACATGTCCTGGGTGCTGGGCTTTAATTGGGCATGTGGCCAAGCGGGCCGACATCAAATGCAGATGCTGGCCAGGCGGATGAGCTATTGTGATCGCCATTGGCGTTTGTTAGTTCACGTGGAGTTTGCGAACGCTTGTTTTACTTGCCGCGGATGTCTGCGCAACATGTTTAGGTGAAAAGGCTGCAATCGCTATGATTAGTTTGTACTTATGTTGTTGCGACGCTTCTTTCATGCGTGTTATCTTTTCGCACGCATGTTCAATGCACGTGCTCGGCTGGCGAACGTCGTTCTCTGCTTTGGACGTCCCGACCTCGATGCGCGGTCTGCCTGCTGCCTGTGAATTTGTCCGCCTTCCGTGGATCCTGCATGAAACAGTCAGTCCGCTTTCCCCAGTGTCACACTCTGTGTGTGAACGTCAGTGGCCGGTCCTTAGTGACGGCCCGTTTTTTGGGAGCTGACAAATGTTCTTCGGGGCCTCAGGAAGCTGGACGTGCTGCGGAAAGGGTTGCCAGGTGTGCCGATCCTGGCGCTGACGGCGACAGCCACGCCGGAGGTTCGAACAGACATCGTCCGCTCGCTTGAGCTCAGGTCAGCTGTCGTGCTGTGGCTCAGGTCAGCTGTGGCGCTGTGGCCCAGGTCAGCTGTGGCACTGTGGCCCAGGTCAGCTGTCGTGCTGTGGCCCAGGTCAGCTGTGGTTCTGTAGCTCAGGTCAGCTCAGGACAGCTGTGGCGCCATGGCTCAGGACAGCTGTGACACTGTGGCTCAGGTCAGCTGTGACGCCATGGTTCAGGTTAGCTGTGGCGCCGTGGCTCAGGTCAGTTATGGTTTTGTGGCTCAGGCCAGCTGTGGCGCCATGGCTCAGGTCAGCTGTGGCGCTGTGGCTCAGGTCAGCTGTGGCGCTCCGCCGTGCCCGCCTGCCGCCGGACAGTGCCAGTACATATAACGTAGGCGCGATGGTGATTGCAGAAATTTGCGCTGGTTGATATTATTTATTGTTGTACTTTTGATTGTTCCAGCGATGTGTATGCTACGACAAAATTTGCGCGCTGGATGTAACATGAGTCCATCAGGTTTTGAAAACGTTGTTAGGATGTGTCCTCGTCAACGATGACTATGTGGCACCCCCGGAATTAATGACGCTGCCGGATTCAACGGTGGCAGTGTTGTAGCTGACTGCAAACTACGGTGAATCTCCGCAGGAACTGCGTCACGCTTGTGACGTCTTTCGATCGCCCGAATCTGTTTCTGGAGGTGCGGGCCAAATCCTCGAGCGCCCTGGGTGACCTCACATCACTCATGCAGCGAGTCGACGGCAAGTGGCGCTTCGATGGCGCCACTATCGTCTACTGCCCCACGCGCAAGGTCACTGAGGTCATCCACACCGCGTTTCTCAGTAAGTCAAAATGGCGGTATGTTCTGAATTTTTATTTAAAAAGTTGACCGCGGATCAGGGTTGGGGTCTGTGTCAACGCATGGTGGTGCTGTCTATAGATTGAGCTGCCGTCACCATGGATTAAGCGGCTGCGATGCGTTTGACGCTGGTGTGCCGCGCGGGCTGGTACAATGTGGGTGTGACTGACATCTTCGTGACGGTGTGATATGACGTCTAGGCGGAAAACGTACCCATGAAATGTATTTGGTGTAGTTTCGACAACTTGTCTGTTTAGAAACGTTACGCTTTCGAGCCTCGGTGGCATGCCGTCTTTACCGCATGAAGTGTGCATGCTCTCTCATCGAGGAGATCTCCCGCGTCAGGTGAACTGTGGTGCGAGACGTTTATCAGGAAGCGGATCTGGCCTCCACCAAGTCTGACTGGTATTTTTCTTCGTGACTCAGACCTGTCGAGTCTGATCGAGGTGTGGCTCCGGCAGACTCCGGGGTACCGTGTGTGATGTACCACCTCGTGACTCAGTCCTGTCGAGTCTGACAATGGTGTGACTCCGGGGTGCCGTGCGTGATGTACCGCCTCGTGACTCAGTCCTGTGGAGTCTGAGCCTGGTGTCACTCCGGCAGACTCCGGGGTGCCGTGTGTGATGTACCGCCTCGTGACTCAGTCCTGTCGAGTCTGAGCCTGGTGTGACTCCGGCAGACTCCGGGGTGCCGTGCGTGATGTACCGCCTCGTGACTCAGTCCTGTCGAGTCTGAGCCTGGTGTGACTCCGGCAGACTCCGGGGTGCCGTGTGTGATGTACCGCCTCGTGACTCAGTCATGCCTAGTCTGAGCCTGGTGTGACTCCGGCAGACTCCGGGGTGCCGTGTGTGATGTACCACGCCGGCATGAGTCTGCCTCAGCGGAAGGCATCTCATGAGCAGTTTGTTCGCGACAAGGTGTCCGTCATCGTCGCCACGGTGGCTTTCGGCATGGGCATCGATAAGCCAGGTGCGTAGCTGATGTCTACAATTGAGGCCCGACGTACACAGCATGATCTGTGAGGCGGGCAGCGCAGCACTCAAGCAGCAGGTAGCGCTGGGTGGCTGCGGCTGAGAGTTTAGTGAGCATGAGCAGATGGGAATTGATAATGTGCCGAAACAGCAAAGATATATTTTGAACCTATTGGATGTGAAGCTACGACAGATCAGTCCTCGGCGAAACGATAGGTTTCAGTGTTAACTGGCGAGCCAGCTAGGCGAGAAGCGCCGTCCTGCCTGATGTGTGCCTCTCGTTGTGGAGCCCTGGTGCGCCGTGCGCCGAACCTGACCCGCCGCCGTTCCCCGAGCTGACCCGCCGCCGTGCCCCGGGTCTGACCCGCTGCCGTGCCCCGAGCTGACCCACCACCGTTCCCCGGGTCTGACCCACCACCGTGCCCCGGGTCTGACCCACCACCGTGCCCCGAGTCTGACCCGCCGCCGTGCCCCGAGCTGACCCGCCGCCGTGCCCCGGGTCTGACCCGCCGCCGTGCCCCGGGTCTGACCCGCCGCCGTGCCCCGGGTCTGACCCGCCGCCGTGCCCCGAGTCTGACCCCCCGCCATGCCCCGAGTCTGACCCACCACCGTGCCCCGAGTCTGCCCACCACCGTGCCCCGAGTCTGCCCCGTCGCCGTGCCCCGAGTCTGACCCGCCGCCGTGCCCCAAGTCTGACCCGCCGCCGTGCCCCGAGTCTGACCCGCCGCCGTGCCCCGAGTCTGCCCCGTCGCCGTTCCCCGAGCTGACCCGCCGCCGTGCCCCGAGTCTGACCCGCCGCCGTGCCCCGAGTCTGACCCCCCGCCGTGCCCCAAGTCTGACCCGCCGCCGTGCCCCGAGTCTGACCCGCCGCCGTGCCCCGAGTCTGCCCCGTCGCCGTTCCCCGAGCTGACCCGCCGCCGTGCCCCGGGTCTGACCCGCCGCCGTGCCCCGAGTCTGACCCGCCGCCGTTCCCCGAGCTGACCCACCGCCGTGCCCCGAGTCTGACCCGCCGCCGTTCCCCGAGTCTGACCCACTACCGTGCCCCGAGTCTGACCCGTCGCCGTGCCCCGAGTCTGACCCGCCGCCGTTCCCCGAGTCTGACCCACTACCGTGCCCCGAGTCTGACCCGCCGCCGTTCCCCGAGTCTGACCCACTACCGTGCCCCGGGTCTGACCCGCCGCCGTGCCCCGAGTCTGACCCGCCGCCGTTCCCCGAGCTGACCCGCCGCCGTGCCCCGAGTCTGCCCCGTCGCCGTTCCCCGAGCTGACCCGCCGCCGTGACCCGAGTCTGACCCGCCGCCGGCCTGGCTTCAGATGTGCGCCGTATCGTGCACTACGGCGCCTCGCGGGACGTGGAGTCCTACTATCAGGAGATCGGACGGGCCGGCCGCGACGGCCAGGCGGCGATCTGCACCGTGTTCTTCAAGTCGGCCGATTTCGTGCTGCACAGGTGAGGCCGGCGCGTGGCCAAATTGACTCGCCGACGGATGGAGGCACCTCCGGACGGCAGGTGGCGACGCGTGGGGTGACTGATGCCAGGTGACCGAATGGTTCTGCGCATAATAAGAAACGCTATTCCGATCGAGGTGAACGTAGATTTGGGACCAAGCAGAGGCGGCGCCGTTGACCCATTGATGACACACGCATCGTCTCTTGGCGTCGCAGGAGGTGACGTGGGAAGAGCGCACGCCGCACCGCGCAGCATTCGGAGGGCAGCGAATTCTGCGGATGCCTCGCGTGCTGCTCAGCATCGATTATGTGACGACAATCGTCTGCCGCCATCCCACCGTGACGCACGTCACGTGTTGCGCAGACACTTCCTGGGTACGGTGAACTCGGCGTCGTACCTGCAGCACCGGCTGGACATGCTGACGGGCTTCGAGGCGCTGCTGAGCGGCACCGGCTGCCGCCGCCGCGCGCTGCTGCGCCACTTTGACTCGGTCGCCGCGGCTGGCGAACGGCACGGTTGCTGCGATAACTGCAACAACAAGTGAGCCGCGGCCGGTCCGGGCTGCCGCAAAGAAACCCGGCATGGCTTCGTGAAGCCTTGAGGGGAGCATGGCCACAGACCCGGGGCCAGGCTCACGCCGCTCACAGGCCCTGGCGGGCAGGTTTGTAGGCTCATCTGCTGGTATTCGCGACCACAAGCACAGATAGGGCCTGTGTTCTTCGTCGTGCTAAAAGCTGCCGATGGGACTGGGGGTCGTTTCAGTTCAGACAGAGTTGGGCGGCGTGATAGCGCAGTCGACAGTATCGGATCTGGACGTAGTCGACGGTGTCGAATCTGGGCGTGGGAAAGCCGAGTGGGCTCGACGGCTGAAGCTGCGGTCACTGCGAGCTGATTTGAGAACCGCTGTCCTTGCGCTCTCCAGAAAGACGCGTGACGTCACTCGCCGTGGTTGAAAAGGACGCTCGTGGTTCCGACCATCGTTAATTACAAAGCCTTCGGAGCGCCGCCGCTGTGACTCGGCGCCCGCGTAGGTGGCCGTCCGTCAGCGGCGCCAGTTCGTGCAGGGCTGGCGCCGCGGCCGGCCGCCGCCGTGGGCCCCGACATGACGCCGCCGCCTCGGTCGGTCCGCGCAGGTATGGCAGCAAGCGGACGGCCGGCCCGGACGCCACCGAACAGGACGGCGGCCGCAATTTCGCGGCGCAGGCGGCCATGCTGCTGGGGGCCGTGCAGCTCTGCAAGGGACGGTCCGGTGAGACGCGTGCCGCCGCCGACGGCCGGCCGGGCACCCCGGACACGGGCCGCGGCGAGGGCTCTGTCCTTAGGTGCTGTAGAGCTCGTGTCGCGTCTACCCGCACTTCCAGTATGTAATTCATCTTTGGCTCAACGCTGTAACCCGTTTGGGTGCGTTGGACCTTGTGTGCTAGATTCGGTTGGAACTTCCATATGCGTTGATCAACGTTGATTGATAAATCGATTGGTGTTTGACTGATTGATTGATTGATTGATGACGGACGGTTCGATTATTGCAAACGTTGATGCTAACGTCCTTGTGACTTAAAGGCGTTTCGTACATAAACCACGTAATCGCCTCAAGGTACTTAACTGTAAAGCTCTTGGTTTTCATTGCTTTTATGCCGTGATGCTGTCGTACGTGTACACAGAATATAGGCTTATTAGTTGCGTTTGTATTTAACACCGGCCGTTGGTAGATGTGACAAAAACCAATAACGGACGGAACGGACGATACAATGGTGCCATAGAAATGGATGAATATGAGATGGAACGCACTGTGATTATGTTTACCTGATGTCTCAAGGTTGTTGCTGATATTTTCAGGCTTGAGTACGCCCATCCTTTATCTGCGAGGCTCGTCAAACAAGAAAGTCTGGGAGTGGCTGAAGGAGCAAGAAGGCTATGGCTCGGGAAAGGAATACTCAGATGTGTTTTGGAAGGCGCTAGGTTCGTGAGTTATTCCAGCGTTCATATTGAGAATGATAATGTCGCTGTCCTTATTTTGTCTTGTGAAATATATTATGCTTCATGACATATCCTGGTAATAATAAAGGCGTGTTGCCAAAATACCAAGGGATCTATACCTCCTTTCTCCTGGGTTTTTTCTCCGAGGAATGATGCTATTGCTACTGTGCTATGCTGACATTTTGGCTTAACGCTTGTGCACTGACGTCTGGCTACTCTGAAGCATGCATAGCACCCATCTGTAGTCATGTTACAAGCAACACTTTCAAAACACTTGTCTGTGCCTTATCTTCAAATTAATCTTGATTTGTTTACCTCTGTGCCCTATGTACAATCTGACCATCGGGTGTGAAAGTTTGTCCGTTGACCTGTCCTTCACCGCCGCAGGGAAGATGCTGATGTTCGAGAAGTACCTGGGCGAGCGGGGCGGAGGTGCGATGCGCGCCCGAGGCGGTGCCATGCGGGGTCGCGGCCGCGGCGCGCCCAGCTTTTTCACCACAGTACACGTCACTGCCAAGGGCGAGGAGTTCTTGAAGGCGTGAGTCAACCCGCTGCCGCCGTCTGCTTCGCATCGCGTGCGTTGCTTCTCGGTGGCTTCCACGCCGTCATTGCTTTGTCCCGAATTTGGCCACGTCCGCTGCCCAGCGTACCAACCGAGTGCAAAGATTTAAGACCTCATACGCACCATGTGATCCTTGCAGTCGGCGCGCCCTCATGCCCATATCATCATCATCACCACCACCACCATCATCATCATCATCATCATCATCATCATCATCATCATCGTCGTCGTCGTCGTCGTCGTCGTCGTCGTCGTCGTCGTCGTCGTCCTTTTAGAGCCCTTTGTGCGTCTTGTTATGTTGCACAGGTTGTACTTTCGGTGTGTTGGCTGATTCGGTGACCTCATGCTATCACGCCATGTTTGTGCCGGCCGGTCCGCCGCCGCCACGCTACGACGTCGGCTGGCCCGCTCACGCGCCCTGTGCCTCAGCTATGCCCGTGATCGCGCCACCCGGCTGGAGCTCGTACCCACCGAGGACATGCGCGCGCAACAGCGGCCCAACCACACCGACTTCGCCGACGTGACGGCGGCGGCCGGCTCGGCGCGCCGCCAGATGCTGCCGGACCGGCCGGCCGACGACCAGGCCGTGTGCGGCGTGACCGTCGAGCCGCTGCCCGACCCGACCGAGCTCAAGTACCGGGTACGCCCCAGCGGCCCCGCTCGCGCTCAGGTCGCCCACGCCCGGGCGGCATCCGGCCGTCTGCGGCCTAGCTGGTGTCATGCCCGGAGGCGGTGTCTGACCGTCGCCGCCGGCGAGTCCGATCGCTGATGTCAGCCCGCGAGCGACGCCGGTCGGGGCGCGCCGCAGCTGTCGTAGCCTGCTCAGGTGTCTGATACGGTCCGCGTGCGGCCGCATCCTCTGAACTGTTGGCCCCGCAGCTGCGTCTTGCCTGCCTGCGTCACGCGTCCCGCCCCCGGCCGCTGTACCGGTCTGCCCGCGTCCCGGCCTCGTTCGCCGTGTCCATCCGTCCGCGTCCCGCCCGCGGCGGCTTGCGCGCCTGACCCCGCCGCCGGCGTCGCCAGGGCCTGCTCTACACGGAGCTGCTGGCGCTGCGCTCCCGCCTCAGCGACCAGCTGGGCGTCATGCCCTACATGGTGGCCAGCAACAAGACGCTGCTGGAGCTGGCGCGGCGGCGGCCCAGCTCCGTGCGCCGTCTGGTCGCCGTCGAGGGCGTCACCGACATCAAGGCGCAGAAGTACGGCTACGAGATCGTGGAGCTCATTAGCCACATGGCGCTCAAGTACAACCTCTCCACGGACAACTTCCCCGAGCAGGTGCGGGCCGTAGCGACGCGAGGGCTGGCCGTGCGCGGCCGACCGCGCGGCGGCGGGACCGAGAGGTGTTCGGGAGTGGTGATCCCGGTATGGGGTCCGGGAGTGGTGCCCGGGAGAGTTGTCCGGGAGTAGTGTTCGGGGTGGTGTTCGGGAGTGGGGATCCCGGTATGGGGTCCGGGAGTGGTGCCCGGGAGAGATGTCCGGGAGTAGTGTTCGGGGTGGTGTTCGGGAGTGGTGATCCCGGTATGGGGTCCGGGAGTGGTGCCCGGGAGAGTTGTCCGGGAGTAGTGTTCGGGGTGGTGTTCGGGAGTGGTGATCCCGGTATGGGGTCCGGGAGTGGTGCCCGGGAGAGTTGTCCGGGAGTAGTGTTCGGGGTGGTGTTCGGGAGTGGGGATCCCGGTATGGGGTCCGGGAGTGGTGCCCGGGAGAGATGTCCGGGAGTAGCGTTCGGGGTGGTGTTCGGGAGTGGTGATCCCGGTATGGGGTCCGGGAGTGGTGCCCGGGAGAGATGTCCGGGAGTAGTGTTCGGGGTGGTGTTCGGGAGTGGGGATCCCGGAGTGGCGATCTGCCATGCAGATTGGCGTGCTCCAGCATGCGACAGATGCACTGGTGTCATCTTCATTGCTGATGTCCTTGGCTTGACGCCAAAAAGTCCGGAACGACTGCGCGCCACAGCGCTGACCGACGTGCGTTGTGACTCGCGCCGCTGCCGCCAGGCGGCGGGCGCGTCGGGGCCGTCGGCGGAGGAGGAGGAGGCGATGCTGATGCACATGTCGGATACGCAGCGCCACAGCTACGTCAGCGTGTGCCGGGACGGTCTCAGCGTGGAGCGAGCGGCCGCAGAACGGTGCGGACTCGTCTGAACCGGAGCCCCATCCTCTTGCCAGTCCTGGTGGGGCTGCACGGGGAGAGGAGAGCGTCGGCGTTCGGCAAGCTTCAGCTTCGAGGCGACTCTTTTGGATCCGTGCCAGATTGTCACGAATAATGCAGGATTGCCAGCATCAGTATTTTTCAGCGAGCCGTGGGCATCCATAGCAATTTTGCGGGGATGTTTGATTACCATTGAATGGGGCGAGATCAACAGCATCATTTCATTGGAGCCGTGACTGCCTTGGATTTATGGAACGCTGTCATCCTGTTGCGGGTTGTATGAAGAACCTCTGTTCACTGAAGCCGTATGCCACTGGCCAGTGACCGTGCTCACCCATGGCGGGCTCTGTTCCTGAAGCCGTGTCCGCCGCTCTGCCAGGTGACCGTGCCGCGCCCGTGCGGGCTCTGTTCACTGGAAGCCGTGTCGCCGCTCTGCCAGTGACCGTGCGCGCCCGTGCGGGCTCTGTTCACTGAAGCCGTGTCGCCGCTCTGGCCAGTGGACCGTGCGCGCCCGTGCGGGCTCTGTTCACTGAAGCCGTGTCGCCGCTCTGCCAGTGACCGTGCGCGCCCGTGCGGGCTCTGTTCACTGAAGCCGTGTCGCCGCTTCTGCCAGTGACCGTGCGCGCCCGTGCGGGCTCTGTTCACTGAAGCCGTGCCGCCGCTCTGCCAGTGACCGTGCGCGCCCGTGCGGGCTCTGTTCACTGAAGCCGTGTCGCCGCTCTGCCAGTGACCGTGCGCGCCCGTGCGGGCTCTGTTCACTGAAGCCGTGTCCGCCGCTCTGGCCAGTGACCGTGCGCGCCCGTGCGGGCTCTGTTCACTGAAGCCGTGTCGCCGCTCTGCCAGTGACCGTGCGCGCCCGTGCGGGCTCTGTTCACTGAAGCCGTGTCGCCGCTCTGCCAGTGACCGTGCGCGCCCGTGCGGGCTCTGTTCACTGAAGCCGTGTCGCCGCTCTGCCAGTGACCGTGCGCGCTCGTGCGGGCTCTGTTCACTGAAGCCGTGTCGCCGCTCTGCCAGTGACCGTGCGCGCCCGTGCGGGCTCTGTTCACTGAAGCCGTGTCGCCGCTCTGCCAGTGACCGTGCGCGCCCGTGCGGGCTCTGTTCACTGAAGCCGTGCCGCCGCTCTGCCAGTGACCGTGCGCGCCCGTGCGGGCTCTGTTCACTGAAGCCGTGTCGCCGCTCTGCCAGTGACCGTGCGCGCCCGTGCGGGCTCTGTTCACTGAAGCCGTGTCGCCGCTCTGCCAGTGACCGTGCGCGCCCGTGCGGGCTCTGTTCACTGAAGCCGTGCCGCCGCTCTGCCAGTGACCGTGCGCGCCCGTGCGGGCTCTGTTCACTGAAGCCGTGTCGCGCCGCTCTGCCAGTGACCGTGCGCGCCCGTGCGGGCTCTGTTCACTGAAGCCGTGTCGCCGCTCTGCCAGTGACCGTGCGCGCCCGTGCGGGCTCTGTTCACTGAAGCCGTGTCGCCGCTCTGCCAGTGACCGTGCGCACCTGTGCGGGCTCTGTTCACTGAAGCCGTGCCGCCGCTCCGCCAGTGACCGTGCGCACCTGTGCGGGCTCTGTTCACTGAAGCCGTGTCGCCGCTCTGCCAGTGACCGTGCGCACCCGTGCGGGCTCTGTTCACTGAAGCCGTGTCGCCGCTCTGCCAGTGACCGTGCGCGCCCGTGCGGGCTCTGTTCACTGAAGCCGTGCCGCCGCTCTGCCAGTGACCGTGCGCGCCCGTGCGGGCTCTGTTCACTGAAGCCGTGTCGCCGCTCTGCCAGTGACCGTGCGCGCCCGTGCGGGCTCTGTTCACTGAAGCCGTGTCGCCGCTCTGCCAGTGACCGTGCGCGCCCGTGCGGGCTCTGTTCACTGAAGCCGTGCCGCCGCTCTGCCAGTGACCGTGCGCGCCCGTGCGGGCTCTGTTCACTGAAGCCGTGTCGCCGCTCTGCCAGTGACCGTGCGCGCCCGTGCGGGCTCTGTTCACTGAAGCCGTGTCGCCGCTCTGCCAGTGACCGTGCGCGCCCGTGCGGGCTCTGTTCACTGAAGCCGTGTCGCCGCTCTGCCAGTGACCGTGCGCACCGTGCGGGCTCTGTTCACTGAAGCCGTGCCGCCGCTCCGCCATGACCGTGCGCACCGTGCGGGCTCTGTTCACTGAAGCCGTGTCGCCGCTCTGCCTGACCGTGCGCACCGTGCGGGCTCTGTTCACTGAAGCCGTGTCGCCGCTCTGCCAGTGACCGTGCGCGCCCGTGCGGGCTCTGTTCACTGAAGCCGTGCCGCCGCTCTGCCAGTGACCGTGCGCACCTGTGCGGCTCAGGTCGCTACAGCCGTCCACGGTGGTGGGCCACCTGTGCGAGGCCATCAAGCTGGGCCTGCCGGTGGACCTGTCCCGGCTGGATGTGGATCAGGCGCTGGTGGACACGGTGGCCCGCGTGGTCCGCAGCCCTGCCATCGGCTCAGGTCGGTGAGGGAGGGAGGGAGGGGGGAGGTTGGCAGGGCAGGGTACACGGCGGACGGGCCGGGGGCTAGCTCTCGGTGGCTCACTGGTTACCGTCGCGCCAAGCATTTTTGCTTGGCTGTCCGCTTCCAACAACTGGACGGCCTGTTGCAAAGGTCATCATGCACCGGCGGTTGTTTTAGAGACTGATGTGTCACCGATGGCTTATGGGACGAGCGTTTGAGCTCACAAGACGGCGCGTGCCGGTCAAAATCTAGTGTCATTCGCCGGCTGGTCCGCGACTGTGACTGGTCAGACAGATTTCCTTGACCTGGCGGAAAGGATCTCTCAGAGCCGTGTCATGTGCGCGACGAACTGACGCCCGGTGTCCTGCAGACATCAGTCGCCTCCGCGTGATCAAGGAGCACTGTCCCGACGACGTGACCTACGACCAGTTGAAGACCTGCCTGGCCGTGATCGCCCGTTTGTACGGCCTGACCGGTCGCTCGTGCAGCTCGGCCGGCCGCCCCCAGGTAACGTCGTCACTACAGATCACATATAATGCACGACTTTCCAGCTCATCTGATGATTCGTTTGTCGTGTGCCGTGTAGTCGGGCGGGTCATCACGTGCGCCATATGAAGCAAGGTCAGTGGCTGAGGCGAGCCGCGCCGTGTGTGGTGTAAGGCCTTCACCTCGCGTTCGCCGCGTGCCGCAGACCGAGCGGGCCGCCGCCCCGCCCGCCAGCCAGCCGACCGGTTCCCCCGAGCGGGCCACGCCCTCATCGGGCGGCGCCGAGCCGTCGGACGGAGGCTGGCTGTCGGCGCGCGGCCCGGCCACCACCATCGTGCCTGCACGCCGACTGGAGACCTCGCAAGCACGGCTGACGCGCTACCTGGCGCCGGCGGCAGGCTCGCCGCCTTCGCCTCCGGTGTCGCAGCCGCAGCCAGCGGCCGGGCGCGTCACTGTCCGGCCCGGCGCTGGCCTCCAGCTGGTGGATCCGTTCGGCGACGATTCGGATCCGGACGAGGCGGAGCTGCTGGCCGCCGAGCGGGCGGCCGAGGTCAGACCGGCACCGAGCGCCGAGCCGCCGCCGCCACCACCGGAGCGGTTCCGCTGGCCCGGCGCCGCCGCCGCGGCCGACGAAGACGAGGGCGAGGCCGCAGCGCCGGCCCGGCCGCTATGGGGCCGCCTAGACCCGGACGAGGTGAACTCGCGGCCGGCGCGGGCCGTGGTCGGCTCGCGGCCGGCCCGGGCTGAAGACAGAGCCCTACCGGCCCCGGTACGGCGGGCGCCGGTCAGACTGCGGCCCGGGAACCTGCTGTCCGACTCTGACTCCGAGGACGACTCGCCGGTCGTGCCGCGGCCTGGCACCAAGCGGAAGCTGCCCGGCTGGATGGCCCATGCTGCCGCCGCCGGCCCGCGGTCGCCCAGCACAGCAGCCAAGAAGCGCTCGTTACTGTCGAAGTGATCGTGTTTATGTGCTAAGGTAGCGGTTCGCTTGTTTTCATGTTCGTGGTGTTGTCATAGATCGAAACGGCAGTAAGGGAATGCCAAATATTTCGTTCGCATGTATTGCGCGGCAAATAAACGATCGACGTGAAAACAGCACAGCTTCCAACACAGCGCTGCCGCCCCTTGAACACTACAGTCGAACAAACTAGCCTACGTTGCTGCTGGTCGTTTACGTGACGGGTGGCTCCTGCTGCTCGCGCCACAGTTGTTTCCTCAGCTGCCGGCGGCGGCGCTGGTCGTCGCGTCGCTGCTGCTGCTGGGCGCGGCTGCGCTCCTGCTGCGCCGCCACGGCCTGCTCGCCGTTTAGCAGGCCGTCCAGCCGCTCTGCCAGCAGCCGACGTGCGCCAGCACGGTTCACCTCGAGTGAGCGTGACTCGTGGCACTTGACCACCAGACCTGGCGGCGGCGGCGGCGCCAGTCAGGGGCGTCGCCCGACGAGCCCGGGGAAAACCCGTGACCACACGCAGGCGACCTTATGGCGCCAAGCAACGCAAGGACTGTGCGTTTTTGGATGTCTGTGTTGAAGAACTGGAACAGAGCGCGGTTAACTCTTTCGTTACCCTTCAGTTTGCTCTCGTCCTTTCTCCGGATGAGCAGCCGGCGAGCACTGCCTGCATCCGTCAGTTGGGCTCGGCAACGGCTCCGGAATCAGCTACATGGCACAATCGGTATGAACCTGGGAGGAAGCCGAATCAACAGAACTGATGAGACAAGCTGACCGAGTAGTGCAGTGGTTAACGCGTCCGCATTAACCAACGCACGTCTGGGAGACCAGAGGTACGGGGTTCGGTTTCCCACGGTATCCGCCCTTCCTGCTAGGGCGAGAGGCAGGCGACGCCATAAAGCGTCAGCAGCTGAGTGCGTCGTAAAGCCCCAATGGCACGCACATAAGTTGACTAGGAAAGGAACGCAATCATACTAACACATTTTCTATGGAACGGTTAGTGTATGTGCATCATTGGATATGAGACGGCCGCACCAGCAAGTATAACTTAAATACGATTATATATGGTCCATACAATACAGCTTGATCGGAATCTTCTCTGGCATTCAACAAATCTACAGCGGCAGGCGAAGTCAAGCTAAACGCGCTGCGCTTATCGGAGCTCCAGGTTGAAATCGACCACGTGCGTTGGGAGCCTTAGTGTTCTTACGAAGCAGAACCAAGCACAAGTCTGCTGCCAGCGCGCCGGACAATGCCGGCGAGCTGCGTCCCGCTTAACTGCACGACGCACCTCCCCAATCCCCTGGCCACAACAAAACCTTCCGAGCGAGGGAACTCGGCATGCGCTACTACCGCCGCCACCAGTAAATCCCCGACTGTCGCCATACCAACCTGTGGGGACGTGTTTCAGGGACACGCAGTTAGCCGTCTTGTTGACGCTCTGGCCGCCCGGGCCGCTGCCGCGCACGAAACGCTCCTCCAGCTCGCGCTCCTGCAGCTCCGGGAAGCGCGAGCGATCGATGGCGTCTCGACTGGCGGCGCGCGCGGCGGCCGCCGCCGCCGGGCGGCGACGGAGCAGCGGCGCAGTGGCGGCCGACGCCAGCCAGGAGAGCATGCTCAGACCAGCCGGCGCCGGCTCAGCACGGAGTGGCCCTTCTGGCGGACACGGAAGGAGCGGGGGCAGTGTCGCGGCTGGCTGGCCGCTATATGGCGCCAGCGGCGGGGGCGAGCGGCGCGCAGCTGGTATAAGTCGTCTCTGCAATTCGAATGCTTATTTTCGCTTCGCTTTAGAACGAAAAGCCCCCACGAAAGGCTTTGGAGTCATCTCTTCGGCGTTGGTTGAGGTGGTAAGGAAAAACAATGAATTCTGTGAGTGAACATGGCACCAACCCAGTGGCTGGCACGACACATTTTCGACTAGATTGAAGGGGCAATTGCGGGCATACGACCACGATATGCTTCGCAAAAAATTAATGTCCTGACCTAGTGCCGTAACTGCCTATCCATGCAATGGCACAGGGAGCAGCCAGTGCAATGTAACAGGCCTAGTCACCTCAAACAGGAAGCGTCGCTGCTCTGTGCTTTCGACGTGCCGGGACTTGTCAAACTCGCTGCGCACCCTCCGATAGAAGTAGCCCTTGTCAGTGAGCTGCAGAGTCTGGCCGTAGCGAAGCAGGCCGCGATACAGCCCACGCATCTGAGTTCCACTCGGAGCTGACATCTGGAGAGGGAGATGTTGATAAAATGGGCTCACTGAACAATAAACAGCTGGCCTATCCCTTCCTTGATGAACATTGTGATCGGCTGTAACAGATGGTGAGAAGGCCTCAGAGGTATGCACTGCTATATAGAAGTAAATGAGCTGGAGCAAAGTCAGGATGATGACAGAAAGGTTGGGTGAAATTGCCCAGATTAATGTACCTGAGTATGAGTGTAAGTGATCTCTGATAGATACAACCAGCAGCTGGCTTGATCCTCCAGCTACTTGTTTGATTTAAAGCTGCCCAACATGATGAAAGTAAAGCATAAGTACATCTTCCTTCATCAAAACCATCCATGCTATGAAGGTGCTAAAACAGAATTGCATGCACTTTGACACACTGGATTGCACACTTCTAGTGTCATATCTGTTGTCAAAAGTCAAAAACTCATAACTGGCTTTTTCATTTTTGTTCAGGAGAGCATTTTCTTTTTTGTCTTTTTGATATTTTGATGTCATGGCCAGAAACAACTGGCAAGAGACCTAAATCATACACCACTTGAAAAATAAAATGATTTCCTATCTTGCAATGCAAAAATTACATATAAATGAAACTACTTCAGTCTTCACAGTGGCAGATGTTTTTTGACACAGGGAGAGCCCATGGAAACCACAAAGTGGTCAAATTCTGAGACCCATACCTGGATAACACATATATCATAACACATGCTTTTTGCTGATTGTAAGAAGGGGCTTAGCAACATTTTGTAGCTTGGCAACAAATAGAAATTTGTGCAGCTACATGCTTTGTCCCATACAGTTGATACACATTGTATGGGTGAATGAACAGCTTTGTGGAAACAAGGGAAAGTGTCTTCATGCTTAATTCATTTCTAACCAATGGCTGTAAAGCTTCTTTGCAAAAATTAAGCAACTGCTGTATGCAGAATCAGCCCATGGCATACCCATTCTAGATGGCAGACTGGTGGTCACTTATTGATGGTAGATGTCCAACCTGTGGCATGCCCACAATGACACTTGGTTTATGTTGGTTATTGGAAATCAAACTGGGGATACATCATCAGGTGGTCATATGCCAACCAGTATATTGATTGAAACAACACAAACCAGGAGTTGATATCAGGATCAGAATGTGATACACATGGCACATGAATGTACCATAATAGAACAAAAAATGACTGGATCTATGCACTCACTGAAATGGCATTGCAAGTCACATAACAATCCAAACCCACTACCAAACTAAATCAGGTCAGCACCCAAAAACACTTTGTAAATAACTGGCCTCCAATGCTAATACATGTTGGTTGAGTAGCTTAGTTATAGACTGTTGGTCAACCCATCTTAAAGTCAGGCCAAAACTTACAACCTTTGACTTGACATAGGATTACCACTTTCCCTATTGCAGTAAAACTCAATCATGACATACAAAAACCATGACATAGAATATTCCCTCCATCCACTAGGCAGGTGCGAAAGTAGTAAGCTACGAAAATGCAAGGGTACACACTGGGGAAGTTCAACATCATGCAATATGTGGTCATGCACCTTCCTAATATATCAATAAAAAACATCATTACGGCCTTCAAGACACCAAACACGAGCAGCATTTAAAATAAAGGTCAACAAATTCTTCATGAGCCACTTACGTACCTGCCGTTCACCAGCTAACGCATGTAAGTACGGGATATCACGACGCTTTATCGCCCTTTAAGCCCCCATCAGCAGAAAAAACGCCCCCGTGCGAGAAGACACGAGAGCCTCGCACGGGAGACCACATTGAAAAGTCACAATATTTTGTCGCGGCTGCGTATGAAATGTAATTATGTAGATCGCGTTTGTTAATGTATTACGACCATAGTTAGCGACGGGTTGGTCACTAACACCAGCAACGCAACTGCCATATCCCTTACCAAAGGAGCGTGTTGACGACCCATTATGGTGGTGACCCTCGGTGGTAGAATAATCTTCCAGTATCACGATTGGAATGGCTGTTCCGACTATCGTCCCCGCCTGGCGCGTTACCACGCACGCGTTTCGGCCAGCTACCCTCCAGCCGTTATCAGGTCCTGCGGAGTTCTAACTCCTGAGAACTGGATGAAATATGGCATAGTGGCCCCGGGCCAGAGCGGCGTTTGCCAACCAGCCTTTCCATACCAGGCACGCCAAGCAGTAAGCCAGTCGCCTGGCCTGGAACCCGTGCCCAGTGCTGCTACCTTACGGGCTCAGTACCGCTGCCCCAGACTTGAGGCAGCGAAGCTTCCGTTTTTGCCGAACCATTGCAATATTATGCAATGCAATATTAAGCACTGTTGATTGAAATAGGAACTGCACCTCCTGCTCAAATATTTGGATCTAAACTGGAGAGCTGTGCACTATGCCTGTCACCACGTAGGTCATGTGTATTCACAACTAGTGCACATCACATTTGCAGTTTGTACAATGGTGCACGACGCAGCCTCGCCCAAATGTCATCACAAAATGGGGTACCATGTAGGCAGGCTATGAAACCCATGTCCGTGGCCTACTAGCGGCCTTCCGGGATGGCACGGAGCACCTGCACAGTTACAACTATGTGCGCGAGTGCACTCGGACCGCAGCACCATCTACCGGCCAAACGCGCGATAGTGCTTCCCGCCTCGCTCGCGGCCCAAGCCGAAGCGGTCCCGCTTGTCAAAGCGGCCGCCATAGGGTGGCCCGGCGCCGCCGCCGCCCCCGCCGCCGCCGCGCCGACCACCGCGAAAGCCGCTACCGCCGCCACCACCACCCGCAGCGGCGCCGAAGCGGTCCTCGTGGCGGGCGTCGCCGCGGTACCGGGCCGGACTGCTACGGTAGCCGTCAGTACCGGCGCCACCACCACCACCGCCACCGCCGCCGCCGCCGCCGCGCGCCGACGGTCCGCCTCCTGCCGGAGAGCGAGAGGCCCGTCAGGCGGCCGGCCAGCACTGCCAGCGTGGCTCAGATGGCCACCAGGTCACTCTAACGTTTGCACGTGGCATACTGTATGTGCTCTTCGAGATGTGTATCCACACACTCAACTACGGGCCTTGCTATGGAAGACCTTTTAGTAGCGATAGCGATGCTACACGTTAGCAGTATGAGCCGTTCATATCTCTACGAAAACCAAAACGCCACGCGATCTAGCAATGACAGTCACGGGTCAATAATATCTGACCTAAGCCAGTGAGCAGCGGCACAACCAGCCTTCCCGGGGTTGGGTGTACCATGTGGCATGTATGTAACAGTCATTACACATCAGCAGCCTGGTCTAAACAAGAACCAGAAGCGTTAACCAAGGTGAACGAGGTCGAGCGCTGAACAAAAAGGGTCTCCGTTGAAATGAAGTTGTACAAATCCTTGGATTCCCGGCTTGGACTGGGGGTTCATAGTACACATGACAGGGTTTGCTGCTCGGCATGCGCGTCGTCACGTCCGCATACATTTTGTTAACAAGCTCCAGACCGAACGTGATTCAATGGATCACGATTAGTTCTGAGCGACGATCGACGTCAGTTCGAGACAGAGCCTTGACTCACCGCGGTTCCTGCCACCTCGGAACTCTGAGAAGCCGCCACGTGCCCTGTCGAAGGCTCCTCGCGACCTGGCCCGTGACCTGCCAGAGCCCTGGAGGCACAAGACAGCAGATCAGGACACCGTGGGCGCAGGAAAGACCTGGATACGTTGCCAGAGCACATCCTGTTGAGATCATGCATCTAGAATCCAAACATGCCTGTGATCAACCCTCCTGTCCGGAAGGGACACCACATCAGTGTGTGATCGCGGCAAGCGCGATCACCGCAGTCCCATGTCGCGTGCTCGAGAATGGCGGGGGACGCCTCGCGGACGCCCGTCTGCAAGGCGATGCCCTTGCAGACCTTCTGTCTGTCCGCATAGTTTGTCGTCATCACAGTAACCAAATGACAGGGCGAACAACCGCACATTCCAAGGCACAAAACCGGCGCTGAACCGACTACAGATAAGAATACAATACCCAACAGCCGACCAGCTGCTGATCATAAAAACGAACACAAGTTAAGCCACCAGCTAGCGCTGCAGCTGCCGACGGCGGCGGGGCGGGGGGCAGGCTCGGCTGGGCCACGTACCCGTCCTCGCGCCGGCGCGCGCGGCACGTTATTGTAGCCGGTGGGGCCGGTCGGGTGCTCGCCGCGCTTCTCCAGTGCCACAAAGTCGTCCACGTGCAGTGACGGCGGCCGCGAGGTGTTGGGCGGCCGGGAGCGGAAGTGGTCGCCGCGCGGCACGGGCCGGCCGAAGCCGCGGCCACGCGCCGGCAGACCTGGCGCGCCGGGGCGATGTCAGCTCGGGAGCACGCTCACGCGGAGGCAAGCGGAGGGTGCGGTGGCCGTCCATCGGACGACACAGCCGACACCGGGCGACAGCCAGCGTCGGCGGCCGCCAGCTCCGGCTCGCTCGGCAGCCGGGGTCCACACACGCAGCTGACGTTAACCAAGATTCGCGCTCTGGCGTGCGTGGTCCGCAGACGCAATTAATATTGACGAAAATTCGTGTTCCTTCACCCCAACACAAATATCAAACTGGTAGCAACAGAACGTCGTTCGACACTCTCCACCCCGACACAGCGGCAGCCTCTTGCCAGCCACTTGCCATCCCGCGTTATCCGGGTATGGGCCACTCCCCGACTGCGGTGACGCTTCACAGCAGCGGGCGGGCGGGCGGGCGGGGCGAGCCATACTCACTGAAGTGTCCGCGGTCGCGGGAGCCGGGCAGCAGCGAGGCGGGCAGGGCGCCCTTGGTGCCGGGCCGCGGGTCGGCCCCGTCCCGGCCCCGCAGCAGCCGGCCCAGCTCGGCCGTCAGCTCCACGCCCGGCAGCAGCTCGCGCGTCAGCGCCATCAGGTTGGCGCTCACCTGTGGCCGCGCGCCGCCAGTGAGCGCGAGTCACGAGCACGGCCGGGACGCGGCGCCGGCGCAGGCCGGCAGGGGCGCCACGCACCGACCGCAGCGTGCGCAGTTACAGGGCGGGCCAGCCGACCACAGCCACGGCGGCTGGTCCGTGGCTGAACAGAAGCCGGTTGGACAGCGACAAGCGTACCATCGCCGCACACAACTTGCAAAGAAAGCGGCCAGAACGATACAGCCGCCCACCAGCCGACCGACAGCTGTGAGCGGTGCAGGAGCATGTCTGAGCCGGGGGCACCGCCCACGAAACCGCGCGCCCGGATCAGCCGTAGGGTCCTGTCCGCCGCCCTCACCAGGTCATCGTCGTGGTCCATCTCCTCGTCGACGCCCTGCTGGAGCCAGTAGGCGGGTATGTCGTCCTCGCCCAGCGCCCAGACAGGCCGCTGCTCGTAAAGCTGCGTCAGGCTGGGCGGCGGCCGGCCCTCTGGCGGCGGCTCGCCCGGCTCCACCGTATCCGGCACCTCCTCCACGCCGTCCAGCTGGCGGATCACTTCGGCGAAGCCATCCCGCAGCGCGTCCAGCTCCTCGTCCTCACCGCACACCTCCTGCCGCCGGCCGGCGCGGCCCGGGTCAGGTCACCAGGCATGGCTCAGGTCACACAGGGCACAGTTCAGGTCACACAGGGCGCGGTTCAGGTCACATAGGGCACGGTTAGGTCACACAGGGCGCGGTTCAGGTCACACAGGGCGCGGTTCAGGTCACACAGGGCGCGGTTCAGGTCACATAGGGCGCGGTTCAGGTCACACAGGGCGCGGTTCGGGTCACATAGGGCACGGTTTAGGTCACACAGGGCGCGGTTCAGGCCACACGGCGTGGTTCAGGTCACACAGAGCAGGTTCAGGTCACACAGGGCACGGCTCAGGTCACACAGGGCGCGGTTCAGGTCACATAGGGCACGGTTCGGGTCACACAGGGCGCGGTTCAGGGACATCAAGGACAAAGTCAAGGACAGCCTTGAACGAAGCGTCTCCCATCATTCAACCTTAATTACCTTCACGTTCCCTTTTACTGATGACGCTTCACTTGTCTCTATTCGATTTCGGTGCATTCATGTACTTGTTATGGCTTTGACCGTTTTGCTAGCCGGACGCGATACGGCCGCAGTGCCGGCGGCGCGCGACCGGTCACCCACCTGCTGGATCTTGCGCTCGAGCACGCGCAGCGGCGGGTCGACCAGCTCGCCGGCCTCCTCGCCCTGCTCGGACCAGCGCAGCGCGGCGGCCAGCTGGGGCGCGCTGAGCGCCGCCGCCGACTGCGGCTCAGCCAGCAGCCGCACCAGCTCCAGCGTCGCCTGCACGGTGGCCATGCAGTCGCTGTTGTCACGGCTGAACTCGGTCGACAGCCGACTGATGAGCGCCTGCAGGCCGCCCGGGTGGTGCGCCAGGCCGCTGCCGGGCGCGCGCGCGCACGCGTCAGCTGGGTCGGCGGGACGCGGCTGCTCGAGCGGCAATGACAGCTGCCAGCGACGCTCACACGCAGAGACAAGAGGAAGGCGGATGGCCACTTCTTGCGCGAAAGACTGTGCAATAGTGCATCTACCGAAAGTTCGTCCGGCATGCTTTCTCTGAGTAAACCATCGTTAAACCGTTAAACTGGGAAGAACACATAACGCCTACCGAAACATTAGCGAAGAACTAACGCGCATTCCATTAGAGCTTCGACACCAATCGATCAATTCATTTAGCCACTTAGGTTGATTAAATGACCTTTAGGGCGCATCTATTGCACGGCCATACAGCGCCCACATTCCCCAGCTACAACCTCGCACGCAAAGCCTTTCGGCCAGGCACAGCTGACCCACCTCTTGATCCTGTGAACGCCGCGCTTGTGCTCGGTAAGAATGACCAGCGTGCGCACGGCCAGCAGGAGCGAGCCGAAGCCGGCGTCGGCGCTGCTCAGGTGCGCCATCAGGCTGTCCGTGATAGCCGAGAGCAGCGGCAGCGGCGGCAGCGCGCCGGCCGCCGGCTCGCCGCCCGGCTCGCGCTCGCGCCCGGCCGCCATATTCACCTCCTGGTCGCAGAGCGCGTGCAGAGTGGAGACGAGCCACTCCTGCGCTTGCAGGTGCTCGGCGGCGGCGAGGCCGGCCGGTCGCGCCGTCAGCAGGCCGAGCAGGCGCGCCAGCAGCGGGCCGTGCGCGTCACTCAGCAGCCACAGCACAGCCGCCTTGATGCACGGGTGCGTGACGAGGCCGGCCAGCAGGTTGAGCGCGTGCGGCAGGCCGCCGGGCGGGCTGCTCAGCGTGCCCTGCACGGCCTCCAGCAGGGCCGACGTGACGAGCAGCGCCGCCGTCGGCGACAGGTCGGCCAGCTGCACCAGCAGACTGCGCGCCGCCTGCAGCAGCGGTGCGCAGCACGTCTGGCAGAGCAGCACAGCCAGCGCGCGCACCTGGTCGCCGGTGGTGAGCAGGTGTGCCGCCCAGAGCCGTCGCAGCTCCAGCGCCGCCGCCGCCTCCGTCTCGCCGAGCGGCCGCGCCGTCTGCAGCGGCAGCGGCAGCGGCAACAGCTCCGACAGCAGACCCAGTGTCGGCAGCAGGGTGTGCGGCGCGCGCACAGCCGCCTCCAGCACCTCCGACACCATGCGCGTCCAGGCGCTCTGCTGCACGGCTGCCTCGGACGTGACGGCCACGTCCGGCTGCGTGAACGCCAGTAGCGCGCCGACCACGTCCGCCTGCACGCGCTGCGCCAAGCTGGCGGCGGCCGCGCCCGACGGCACGGCCCACAGCAGCAGGTACGTATCGACGAGCGGCGCTACCGAAGTCAGGTCTTGGAACTCGGCGCCGCGTGCTTCCACGGCCAGCGCCAGCATCTGGCGCAGCAGCGCCGCCGCCGGCCGCAGCAGCGCACATAGCGCCAGCCCCTGCTGGCCGGCCAGCGCCGGCGCGTGCACGGCGGGCTGGCCGTACGCCTCAGTGACGCGGCGCAGCACAGTCAGCACCAGCTCCATACCGTCGGCCGAGTACAGCTGCGTCAGCGCGTACCGGTAGCGCAGCTCGCGCACGGACGGCGCGGCTCCGGCCGCGTCCGGCGGCGGCACGGCGGCATGCGCCAGGAGTCGGAGCGCGGCCACCAGCGGCGGCGGCAGCAGTTCGGAGCGCTCGGCCTGTTCGCGTGCCAGCTGGCAGAGTGCCGCCACGCGGTCGGGACGCGCGCCGAGCTCGGCCAGCGGCGCCAACCAGTCGGCGGCGGCGCCGAGCCGCGCCGCCAGCTCGGGCTCGGCGCGCGCGCGCTCGGCCAGCCGCGCCGCCGCCGGCACGTGCTCGGCGCCGCGCAGCACGACCAGCAGCAGCTCGGCACAGTACTCGGCCACGGCTGTGCCGCGCTCGGCGGCGCGCAGCGCCTCCACCAGCGGCCACAGCAGTTCGCCGCGGCTGAGCACGTGCACCAGCGCCGCCCGGCCGCGCACACCGCCCGACAGGCAGGTGAGCGCGTGCAGCGCTGACACCTGTTGGATGGACGGCGCAGGTCAGCCTGCTAGTCTGCGTGGCCCCCTGTCAACACCCTCCCACAAGCGACATAGCGAAACGGAAGCAACACGATGCCCGCGAGCCACCTGGGCCTCCCGCCGTCCCGCCTGCCGACCTGTTTGCTCTCGTCGCGCGCGGCCGCCTGCAGTGCGCCGAGCAGCTGGAGCGCCTGCAGGCAGTGCAGCAGCCAGGCGCCAGTCTGGTCGAGCGGGTGCGGCTCGTCGCCGCCGTCCTCAAGCGGCGCCAGGCTGGTCAGCAGCCGCAGCAGGGGGCCGGTCACCTCGGGCGCCGCCGCCAGCAGCAGCAGACCCTCAGCCGAGCCGGCCAGCTCTGCGGCGCACGGCCAACGTCAGCCGGCGGGTCTCCGGCCGAGACAGCGTATGCACGTGAATCACGACACGTCACACTCCAGCTGGTCACGTCTGACAGCCCGGCAGTTCGCTGCCCGGGCAGCACACTGCACGGCGCCGATCGGCAGCGCCCCGACGCCCCAGTCGTGGCAGCTGACCCAACCACACGGCCCCAGCTACACAGCCGGTCGCAGCAGGTGCCGCCACGCTGCTCACTGGTGTTGGGGCGGGGGAGGGGGCACCGACCGCCTCAGCCATTCGGCGTCGGCGCCAGCCGGGGGGCCGGCGCGCGGCAGACCGCAGCACTGACCATTCAGCAGGGCGCGGGCGGCGTCCAGCAGCCGGGACGACGCCAAGCAGCTGGGCGTCTGCAGCAGCACCAGCAGCGCCTCCAGCAGGCCAGACCAGCGCAGCAGGTAGACTAGGTCGGCCAGAGGGCGGCCGGCCGGCGGCGCCGCCTCCAACACCAGCTGCACGGGCAGCGCGCGCTCCGAGTGTCCCAGCAGCGTGTCGGCTGACCGCAGCAGAACGCACACCTGGGCGGCAGCGGGCACGGCCGCGCAGGTGTCAGACGCCAACCAGCGCGCCATGAGCCGTTACACCCGACGCGGCAGTGCAACGGGGAGCGTAGTCTGTATACGGTACGGAGCGCAGCTGATGTGGATGGCCTGTCTGGCAGCATTGTCTCGTTACGGGTTGGTCTGACGAAATGTGATGATTGGGTGCGCCGTTCATAAAGCATCTACCCGCACCATACTTTTAGCAATCCGACCAAACCGACCAATCGTCATTAATCCGAACGGTCTAAAAAATGCAGGCAAGAATATACCAAGCAGCACTTACTTGGGCACTCATGTTCTAGGCCCAGACATACCAACGCAATTTCGCGAGCGTCACCGCATGTACATTTGCCGACGTCTTCGCCACAGCAGCACACCCCTTGGTGCAGGCTGCCGGCTGGAGCGGCGCCGGCGCGCGAGTCCAGCCCGGCGGCGCTCACCTGGCTGAGACAGGCCTCAACCCTGACGACGGTGTGGCTCAGCTCGGGCGCCGCCGCCGACGAGAGCTCGGCGGCGCCCAGTCGGCCGGCCAGCGAAGCCAGCTCCGAGACCGTGCGGTGGCTGTGGACCTGGCGCACAGGACGACACTCAGCGGCACAGATCACTGTCGGGGATCAGCGCCGCCCGTCAGAGTCACGGGTCAGCGTCACAGGTCAGTGGAACAGGTCAGTGCCACACATTAGTGTTCGAAGACATTGTCTCAGGTCAGTGTTCCAAATCAGTCTCTCGGGCCAGTGTCTTTGGTCAGTGTGTCAGCGCCACGGATCAGTGTTATGGGTCACTGCCTCAGGTCAGTGCCCCAGATCTGTGTCTTAGATAAGTATCTCAGGTAAACGTGTTAGGTCAATGTCTCAGGTCAGTGTCTGATCTCAGGCCAGTGTCTCAGGTCAGTGTCTCGTCTCAGGCCAGTGTCCCAGATCAGTGTCTCAGGTCAGCAGGCCAGTGCCTCAGGTTTGTGTCTCAGGTCAGAAGCACAGGTAAGAAGCGCTAACCAGTGTGTTAACACCCTGAACAGCACATAGACGAAGCGTCCCGCAGACTTCGCCCACCTCCGTCAGTCCTTTACCAGAGGGCGTGAGACGACCATGGGCGCGGGCTCGACCAAACACCATCACACCCGACGCCAGGTGGCTAACGACTCGCCGCAGGCTCGGCTTGCTCCGGGAATCGTCGCTGCCTCATCCGGGCGGGCGCCACCGGCCGGCCGGCTCGGTGGCGCAGCGGCACGTCTCGACGGGGTGCGCCGTACCTTCCGCACTAGACTGATGAGCGCAGCCTTCAGCCGCGCCGACATCTTGGTGGTGAGCATGGTCACGACGCGGCGGTAGCAGGAGTTCTCCCCGCTGACGAAACCCTGCCGGCAGACACGGTCAAGTCTGAGACGCTGTAAGGCGGGGTTCGGCGGGCCGCCGGCTCGGCCGCGACAGGTCCCGAGGCGACCACGCGGCTGCGGCTGCCAGTGCTGACTGGGGGGCTAGCGTGCCGCGAAACAGGCGAGCCCACCAGCGCCAGACGTACGACAGGTCCCGAGGCGGCCACGCGGCTGCGGCTGTCAGTGCTGACTGGGGGGCTAGCGTATCGCGAAACAGACGAGCCCACCAGCGCCAGACGTACGACCTCCAACAGCGAATGCAAAGCTCCTCGTGCCAATGGCACAAACCCCCGCTGGCGCTGGGCCGTCACCCGACACGACTGCACCGAGCCACCACTGACGGCTTCTCGCGCCGGCGCCGGGTGTGCCGGCCGGCTGTCCCACCTGCAGCCCCGCCTGCCAGCGAACGGCGGCCGCCAACGCCGTGACCACCATCAGCCGCACCGAGGCAGCCATCTGCTCGCGCTCCCAGAGGTCCAGCAGACGCGCCAGCGTGCCGCGCGCCACCAGCCGACCGGCCAGTGGCGCGTCGCAGCTGAACAGTGCCTGCGCCAGGTGCACGCCCGCCTTCAGGTGGCGCATCTTGAACGGCAGCTGCGGCTGGCGCACGGCAGCCTCGAAGTCGAGGCCGTGCTCCAGCCAGGCGAGCAGCGCCGGCTCCGGGTCTGCGGGCCGGCGACGGCGAGGGTCAGACGGCGCGCCCACGCCCCGGGGGGCGCGCCGCGGCCAAGGAGGGAGCCAAGCGTGACGTCAGCGGTGTCTGCGGCGGGGCACCGCGCCGGCACCGCCAGTCGTCCCGGCCCGCACCCGAGCCGCATAGGGACCGGACGAACACCGGCATAAGACGGCAGTCGACCACCTGTAGATTGATTGGAGGCTGTGAGGTGGTCCAGTCTTAAGCCTCCAGAAGGCAACAAGAATTTCGCGAGCGCGCTGAAAGAGACGCCGGCGCACGTACATGCCAGAGGTGGCACCGGCAGCGGCTCGCGGCCCCGCCCGTGGTCAGCGCTCGCCGCGTCGTGCCCGCCGTCTCACCTTCGCCGTCGCGGCGGCGAAGCAGGGCCAGGGCGGCCGGCAGGTGCGGAGCGATCGCCTCCACGTCCTCGACCCAAGCCTCGGCCGGCTCGGCAGCTGGCCGCTCCCCGTGCGCGGCCACCAGCTGCGCCAGCCGCTCCGCCTGCTCCGACTGCACGTCGCCGAGCGCCGCCAGCTCGAACTGGGTCAGCCAGGGCGGCCGCACCCCCTGCCACGCGGGGACGGGGTGAGAGCGGCCCGCGGCGTCGGCGCACGTGTCTGCAGTCTCGACGGGCAAGGAGAGCTGTCCGCGGCGTCAGCAGATCGCTGCACGTGTCTGCAGTCTCGACGGGCGAGAGTGGCGTGACGGGAAACACCACTGACGTCACTCGGGCGGCGCACTGCACTGCTGTTACCGCGGTTCAGTCACTGTGAGCGCAGACCTGTGACGGCGCGCGGCACCTCGGACGTACCTGTAGCGGCTGCAGCTGGAAGCTGTCAGGGTTGAAGGGACGCAGCACCTCCTCCCAGTCCTCTTCCTCAGTGTACTCGACGATCTCGTCCATCGGCTCCTCGTCCGACATGATGTCCTCCAGGGCGTCGTCCGCGTCGAGCAGCGGCGCGGCGGCCGGTGCCGGCGCCGCGGCCGGCGTAGGCGTCGGCGCCGGCGCCGGCGTCGGAGTTGGCGTCGGCGTCGGTGTCAGCGCCGGCGCCGCGGCTGGGGCGGGAGCGGAGGCCGGCGCGGTGGCCGGGGACGACGGCAGGACGGGGGCCAGAGGCGGGGCTGGAACCGAGGCCGGCACTGAGGCTGGCGCGGCGGACGGCGCGGCAGGGGGAGGGCTAGGCGCGGCCAACGTCGCCGGCGGCGTGGCCACCCGCGGAGGCGTGTCGACGGCCGGCACCGGCGCCGGCGAGGCCGGCGAGGCGGGCAGCGGTTGGTCGGAGGCCGGCCGGCCCTGCCCGGGCTCCACCTCCGGGATCTCGTCGTCGCTGATGGCCTCCACGTCACCCGGCGACAGCGGGTGCAGCAGCTCCTCGGCGTCGGCTGAGGGGACACCGGCTGTACCAGCTTACCGCGTCCGACACGCTGGGAGCGCCGCTGTACCAGGCAAAACGCCAGCTCGACTCCAGGTGACGTCAGAACCCAACCCGAAATCAAACTGATTTTCGTCGCGTCAAGCATGAATCGGCTCGACTGAGTGTTCGTGGTGGATCAGAGTCGGAGGCGAGTGCAAAGTCGTCCGTGACTCGACTCAAACGAACATATATGTGACAACGTGTAACAGGTTTTATCAAGTCCACTTAAACAGGCTGTGCCTTAAACTGGCATCCAACTGTGTTTTTTTTTTTTTGCAGGAATCTGTGTCCACCCAAGGTTACACTGAGCTCCTCCCTCAGAGACAGAATCACAGCCATATGCCATGAATCAATGCCGGATTCGATTCCGCTGAAGCAGAACCCAGCACAAGTCTGGCCCCAGGCGACCAACACACGGCCAGGACCACGTGACCCAAAGTCTTACACCCCACATGCGTTTCAGAAACTCAGAGCATTCACCGCAGGTTATCAACATGTACTTCACTGCATTGTATCGCAGTTGACTTTTTTAAATTATTAACCACCTGTCCCCTTAACTGGAATATTAACAGCCACCGCGTGGATGAGGCTTAATAACCGACTATGACTATGCGGCCAGAGAGTAGGTCAGTGTGGGACGGCTCCGAGGTCGCTGTTGGGCGGGAGATAGCGGCGCCACGTGCCGTACCCTTCCTCGGCGAGGGCGAGGAGGGCGCCGTCAGCGGCCCCTGCTGGTCCAGCGGCGGCGACCTGGGCGGTGTCTGAGGCGCGGCACGTGCCGCCTCGCACACGGCCCCCGACGTCCCCTCAGGCTGCAGGCACACACGCACACCTCGTCACCGAATCAACACCGCTGCACGCTAGGCCGTGACTGTAGTGCCTGCAGGAATGACCAACCACACTGTGGAGTGAGAACACAACATAGAGGGCTTCAGTATGCCCAAAGATGGTGCTTTTGTCATTGTAACATTGCCATTGTCGTTACTGTTGCATTGTCAATACATTTACATTCATATATTCTAACCTCCACACAGTGGACAGCATGGTGCCACCAACAATACCCTAGTGGTATTAACTAATCAGTTTGACGACGCACCGATCACATCATCTCACAGCAATACCCCGCCTGGACGCCACCCGGCACCCGAGCGTGAGCGTGCGCACCTCGCCAGCGGGCCACATCGGCCGCGACGCCAAGCACGGCCGCCGGCCGGTGGGCGTCGCCACGCCAGCCTGCGTACCTTGCCGGGCGCCGGTGTGACGGGGCCGGGAGGGGGCGCGGCCGCTGCCGCCTCCGGCACCGGCTGCAGGGGCGCGGCCGGCACCGGCGTCGGCCGCAGCCGCGTCAGGCTGCCGTACACGGCCAGCGTGACGGTGCTGTACCAGCCGCGCAGCACCAGACCGTCGGTCGGCGTCTGCCACAGGCCAGGTGCTCGGTCAGAGGGGGGGGGGGGGGAGGGGAGGGCAGACCACCGCGGCAGGCTGGACGGCACAGGCCTCCAAGGGGCTCGCGAGTCACGCTTGGGTTCAGCTATTAAGGTGCTTACTGCTCTGCATCAACCAAAGTAAACTCCCTTCAGGTGTTACATTGCCTATCCAGAGGACTTCCCTAACTAGCAATAGGAAAAAGACCAATACACAGGTAACAGCAAGGGTCTTACCTTGCTATCAAATTCCAGCTGTATTTTTCCTTTCTGGTCATAGTTGATACTGCCCAACTTTTGAAAAGCGGACACACCTGGCTTGCTGAGGTCATGTACAAAGAAGTCTAGGGTAAACTCTGATGGGTTGGTAGCCCTGAAAGCAGCACAGAGATGAGTAACATATGTCAAGTAAGGCATGACCAATGACTTTCATAAAGCCTAAAGTCATGGCAAACAAATACAAGGTAGCAAACATGCAAAGCATTTCCACTGCATGCTTAGTAATATTCCAGGACAATCAGCAATAAACATGATTTTGAAGTTCCTTTGTTGATACTTCTCAACCTTTGATCTACCAGGGGTACTCATTAATGCATTATCAAACAAACATTGGTTGTATCTTCAACATGCAAGATTTCAAGCTGTGCTGATCAAACAGCTATGGCAGAGATACATCTGAGGGCACCATAACACAACTAGCATCACCAAACTTGGCCACAGCTGACAATGGACAGACCTGCCCGGACCCTGCTCAATAAAACTGGCGGCTGGGCCTTGTTCACGCATGACTGTTATGTCAGCAGCCTCAACACCCAGCTGACAATGATATCAAGCATCTGTGTGCAGGTCATATTTACACCCAATTCAGGTCAACAACACACTTGAGCCCACTGACCCGAGCCGATCGCCGCCCGGGAAGTCAGCCCGCACGCGCGCCCCCAAAGGGATGATGCGGATCTCACTGATGAACACCTCCCGGTTGAAGTTAACCAGGTCCAGGTTGAGGTCCTGTGGTTACACAGATGTGTGAACACTGGCAGTGGTCACATCACCAGCAGTCTGGGATATGGGTACAGGTACAGTTCCATGGTGATCCAAACACCAGCTCCACCAGCAGTCTGGGGTACAGGTACAGGTGCAGTTCCATAGTGATCCAAACACCAGCTCTGCCAGCAGTCTGTGGTGTGGGTACAGGTGCGGTTCCATGGTGATCCAAACAGCAGCTCCTTCAATTCTCTATGACACCCAGAGAAGCACATGAATGCATCTGATATAAACAAGATCACAAACCAAACATACATCTGTCATTTCTCATGATGCTTCATTGAACTTTGTTTATGCACACTCAGTTTGCACAGCAATGAATGGCCAAGTGTGATGTGATTTACAAAAAGCATTCATGACAAAAAACAGCTAAGAAACAGCAATACAAAGATAAAGCTTTTGATGCTTTCACTGGTCCCTGAGTATTTCACTGGATAACTTTGTGATCAGACTACATGCTAGGCAGGCTGAAAGGATGAATACTGAAATTAATATGCCAGATGTATGGTTTTAGTTCACTTGGCATTTTCTTCACAGTGTGTAGGCAGGCAGGACTGTTCTTTAGAAGGGTGCTCAGTGGCATTGTGGCATTGGTTCCCTACTTCTGCAGCCTGATGAGTCAACTGACTTTTGCTGTCAAGTCCTCTTTACTGCAGGTTGAGAATGATGGTGGAAATTGATGTTATTACAACCACCAGTTTAAAGATAAGAAGGCTGCTTAAGCTGCCCTGAAATATTTCCTTTCCCTGAATGTCAATCTTATTTCCCTAGTAGGACTGTCCCAAGTCATATCCAGAATGAGTGCATGTTTCCCAAAGGATTTTTTAGCCATGACAGATCAACAATATGGGGTCATCCATGCATTGCCTACTCATTTATAACAAGGGAAAAATTCTGACATTAGTCACCAGCTATCTGCTGATTACATTGCCCAGCTGGCTAGCTGTAAATAGGCCAGGAATCAAGTCAGTGATTGGTTTTGATGGCATTTAGCAAACATCTTGAGTTTACTTTGCCTGCTTTCCAAATACACTTGGCCTCAATATCACAGAAGTTAACATGAGTTATGGAAAATGAATGAGCTCCATGTAGGTGCATCTGTAGCATGCCTAGCTTTAATGAGTGGCACACACACACACACACACACACACACACACATGCACGCGCACACCCACACCCACACCCACACCCACATATAGATATATGTATATGTATATATATATAAATATATATATATATATATATATATATATATATATATATAGGCTGTATTTAGCTTTGAGGTTTCAAAACAGTTTAAAAAAGATGCAAACATTGACTAAACCACAACTGAACATAATGACATACTATCCAACACTGCCCTGGCATTTGTTATGCCTAAGTAATGCTCCACCAAGAAATTATCTGCCATTTGCATGTCATGCAACATATGGGCTACCCCAGACAGTCAACTGCCAGCCACCATTTCAGTGTGAGAGTCATCATTCCCACTGTGACATTGTTTCAGCAGCTTAATCCACACAATCAGGACTTGGTATGTACAAATATCCTCACTGAAATGCCTTCCCCTGTTTTTATAGTATTTGTGCTCTACAAATGCTTGTAAATCTGATGGTAGAGGCAATAGATTGTATTTTCATCACTCTATCTGTTAACCTAATGCAAATAAGCCACCTGATTAGTAAACCTAAAAACCTACCTGATTAAGGAAACCCTCTCTTTTATTCATAGCACAAAAGAATGAGTCCAAAACCATACAGAGCTATACAGTTCCATTTTGACCAAGGTAAACCATGTACAAGTTCTGGGCCTTGTGAACAATGCTGTTGAGCTGTGAGCCAAGCATCTATCCCATAGATCAGAGGAAGCTTTATGATAGCCCCAATTGTAACATGGTCATAGAATGGAACATAACCAAAGTAGCCATGCTTGCAGCTAATGACTTACTGTTCCTGTATCATGTGCAAAAGTATCAAAGAACACCAGCTGAACTTCTGACATCTTGCTTGTGTCATGTGCTTACTTCAGCTCACATGATTTGTTTGCCAATACTTGACACACTGGACCTGTAATATGACAGAAATGTGTGCATTAAAAAGGATAGCTTACATAAGTTTCTAAGTGCATTTACCAGGAACATTATTCATATATATAAGACAACATTAATAACCTTATTCCTTGGAGAAAAACCAGAATGAAAATGAGGATGTGCCTATATTTTGGACAGCATAACCTTAGCAAAACAATGGTGGAATTGACTTCAAAATTGCCTGCTAATGATCCCACTCAATTATTTTTTATTTCATTTTTTGAAACAGCCAGCCACGCTTCTTACAGGAAATCACGAAGCAATTACATATGTCAGCTATTTCAATTAAAGACACAATTGCTGTGCATCAAAACATACCCTTGATTTCAGCCTGAGCAGCTTTTGCCACTTTGAGATAGAAGATTTCACCAGAGACTCTTTTTAGCTATCTTTATATTTTTCCAAGCTATGTGTACCCACAGAGTACTGTTATCAGCAAGCAATTTTGAATTCCCTTCCACTATAGTTCCAGTAAACGCACGTTACCGAATAACTAATACATCTATATCTTCATTCTTCTGGCTTATCTCCGAGGAGTGCGGTTACAATTGCTATCTGATTTAAGGACGGCCTGGTTGATCCTATCGAGATGCATCACAAGGCATAATTACAGCAACACAGAACAGTTTCGGCAGCGCAGTTGCCCGGGTGAGATTTTAAATGGGGCGTAAGTAGAAGCCCTCCCGATTCACGCACCACGACATGCCTCACTGGCCGAAGCATACAAAAAAGCGTTCTATTGCCCTGGTACAATGACCGGCTTACATGCCCCAACCATCTGCCAAGGCCGTCAAATAGGGTATGATCATCCGGGAATTTTCCTGCACTTCCCCTGCACTATTCCAGTGACGTCACAAAGTCGCAGTCGGGCATCGCCGGCCAGCCTGCATTACTCTCCAAAGTCAGTCTTGGATACTTTCTTTTTGAATGACGGGCCATACACACTTGTCGGGTCCTATCTGGTTATCTGCTCCGGCACACCAGATTCTTTGGTGGTCCTGCACATTGGGTATCTTTATGTAGGGCACTACGCTCTTGTCGGAGGCCATCTGACAGTCTGCTTCGGCACATTCGATCGTTCGGGGGCCTCTATATTTGGTGTTGGGCACGTCCTATTTGAATGGGGGCCTTACACACTTGTCGGAGGCCCCCTTCATCCGCCTCCTCGGTCACACTGGGTTTTTCAGTCGGCACTGCACATTTGGCCTTGGTGTTTGAATTAAGGGCATTGCGCTTCTATCGAGGTCGTCTGATAATCTGCTCGGGCACACGTCATCGTTCGAGTGCCCTCCGCACTGAGTTTTGGGTACTTGCTATTTGAATGGAGGGCCTCATGTTCTTGTCGGGGCCCGATTTGATAAGATGTTCGGACCCATTCGATCGTTGCGGATCTCTACATCGGGTTTTGGCCACTTCCTATTTGAATGGAGGGCCCTTCACTATTTTCGGGGGTCCTATCCGTTAACCTGTTCTGGCTGCACTCGATTATTCAGGGGCGTTTTGAACGGTAGGCCCTAGGCTCTTGCCGCGGGTACATCTGCTAACCTGCTCGGGGACACTCGATTGTTCGGGGGCCTTCCACTTTGTGGTCTTGGTACTTTTTATTTGAGTGTAGGGCCCAACGCACTTGTCGAGGTCACCACCTGTTCGCCTCCTCGGCCGCACTGGACTGTTCGGGGGGGCGCTATATATTGGGTCTTGGTGTTTGAAATCAGGGCCCTACACTCCTGTCGGGGCCATCTGACAATCTGCTCGGGCACACTCCATCTGCCGGGAGTCATCCGCACTCGATTTTGGTCATTTCTTATTTAAATGGAGGGCCCTACACTCTTGTCGAGCCCCTTTTGATAAGCTGCATGGACACATTTTATCGTTCGGGGGCCATTCACATAGGGTCATGGGCGCTTCCCATGCGACTGGATGGCCCTACGCCCTTATTGGGAGCCCCAAGAACAGCTGCCAGCAAATGTAAGGTGCTCATAAGCAGACGAAGTTAATTCTTTGCTGATTGAGAAAGTGATGCCTGGGAGAATTTCGGGGCTCATTACGCCGACCAGAGGCACCTTGCTGTTGGTTGCCCGGCCCCTATAAGTCCACTTGCCAGGTCAATCTTATCACCAAAGGGCTCTGCACGTTGCTCTTGCTCTTTTTGCATTTTCTCGTAGGGCCCAACGCTGTTGTTGAGACGCTATATGCTTCCATATCTGGACACTCTTCATCGATCAGGTCTTCCTCGACGGACTCTTCCCATTCGCCCAAAAGGCCCTATATGCTTTTCCGGGACCCATATGCCAGAATACACTCAGTTTCACAGAGGTCCTTCATATTAATATCGGGTTCTTCCCACCTCCCCGTTGGGTCTTGTGCTGTTGCTGGGGTTCTTATAACGGAAGGCACCAAGACACTCAATACTCAATGACCCTCAACTCTCATCGATGGCTCATTTCCTTTGACCTCATTTGCGGAGGACTCTTCACTCCTATCGAGGCTCTTTCTGTTAACCTGCCCGGGCATTCTTGATCGCACCGGATCATTAATTCATGGTCTTCTGTAATTCCCCTTTGCTCAGAGGGTCCTGTGCTCTGTCCGGAGCCTTACATGTCAGCCTGCCGGGGCACTAACGATCGTGTGGGCCCTTCACGTTGGTCTTGGGTTCTTTTCACTTGCCCTGAAGACCCTGCACTTGTTGACGGAAGCCTCCTTGTTGGGCTTGCACGCCACCCACGATCGGTCAGGTTATAGGGGAGAGACGGGAGAACTGGGACACTTTTGCAACTTCGACTTTGATGAGTCATTGCAGCAAAGGTATGGAAGCTAGGTAACATTGCACCATACAAATGAATAAATTGGATATTTATTTACATCAAACTAATAAGTTAGTTTCACTGTGTGGAAGGAAATGACACGCGTGGAGCAAAAACAAAGACCTTCATTTACAGGAGAATCAGGACGCACGCAGGAGAATCGGGACATATTTGAATGTGAATTGGGACATACTAAGGAGCATTGGGATAACATTTCTACTTGGCTACATGTTCTATAATTAAATTGCAAATGGTAAAATGAGTGCACTGCATTGCCATCTACTCACGTCCAGGAACTTGTCAATGGTCGTGACAACGCTTCCTCCCGCTGAAAACGGTAGCATATCAGATTCATAAAACTGAGACGCAACATTTTAGAACGTGAATTCAGGATATATTTTCCACCTCCAAATAACCATTCTGCTTTGGCAGAAGAACCAACCAACGGGAAGGTATTCCTAGCATAAGATCCGGCTAGTAGTAATGCCGGCAGCCTACACAACAACCAGACGACACCGCCACACGACCTGCAGTCGCATTAATCACGTTAAGTCATCACAGCCAATGCGCTACTTGCGGCACAGCGGATCACATGATTATCAACCTTGGCAGTCTAGGCACATACTAGGCAACGACAATGGTCCGTAAACTTCCTACACATCGCATAATCACGATCGGCACAGCCAATGCTATACTTGTAGCACAGCGGATCGTAGGACTCACAGCCTCGGCGGTCTAAGTACAAAACAGGCAAAGCAACTGTCACAAAACTTCCTGAACATCGTGCTACTCACGTTGAATCTGCACAGCCAATGCGTTGATGGCAACACAGTGGATCACCGGACTAACAATGTCGGTACCTATCCTAGGCACCCACTTTAACACCGTACACGGTCATTAAACTTCCTACACATCGATATAATCACGTTAAATCAGCACAGCCAATGCGAAACCCGCGACACAGCAGATCATATCGGATCATAGCGGATGACGGATCATCGGTCTCGGCAGACGTCACATGCAAACTGTGCCTGCCAGGTTGTTGCGTCGGTACACGGACAAGCACGCCCACTTTTTGCATATTGTACACTGTACCCACGATTCACGGCTGAGCCTGTACTGCATCCCACAGTACAGACACGACGCTTTATCATCAGCCTTTGGCAAGTCCTTTGCACGTCCCAGCTTTCTCTTCTCACCTTTCGTGTTAGCGGTGTTGCTCTTGGCATCGAACAGTCGCTTTGACACACGCCCGTGTCTGGCTTGCGACCTTCGAGTCTTCTTCTCCGCTTCCTCTTTCTTTCTGTGCAGCTCTGGTGTACTCGTAGCCGTCATGGTTTTTCCTTTTTCCGCACTCGACGACTCGGCTCCACTTTGGGTCCTGCCTTAAAAGATAGAGGGCCAGGGGGTCCTGCCTTAAAAGATGGAGGACCAGGAAGTGTAAGCGTACGGTTATGGAGCATAGGCATGGGCATTGGACAACATGGCTCACTGGAGGATCCTTTTGGGATACAAATTATCCCTTAAAAATAAATTTTGACGGAATTACAACATAATTAACAAAGATAGGAAGGATGGAAATGGAATGAAATTTATAATCACGAAACTATAAGACAGCTTAATAATGAACGATGTTTTCTTAAGGGTCGTCTGGACGATCTGGTGTCTGTTTAATGTCACTTTGTCATTGCTGCTTTATCGGTTTAAGGAAGAAATTGGGATAAAAATAACTCACTTTCGGAAATCTCCGAAACTCCTGCGGTGAGACAAGCCGGACTGCGGGAGATGCTGGGCTGAGTGGGCCACCTCCTTGGACCTCAGCTGGAGCCCGTGACAGCCCAGGAACTGCATCCGGTTTGTTGCTTGTAAATGGTGGCCTTTTCACCTGCAGGCCAACCGGATCAGTCGGCCTCCTTGACAGGGATGGAGGCTCCGGACTCTCGACGCGGTCCTCTTCGTGTGTATCCGCTTCGTGTGTGTAGTCTTCGTGTGTGCCCGCTTCATGTGTGTTTGCATCATGTGTGTCCGCTTCCTGTGTGTCCGCTTCGTGTGTTTCGTCTTCAGCCACTCCGGGAGCTCATACAGTCGCTGAGAGAGCTGGTCTGTCGGTCACGTCTGCGGGAAGGAAGTCATCCTTGGTGAAGACTTCAGTGTACAGTGGCCAGATTTCTGTCATTCGAAAGCCGGACAGGATGTTGGCTGGGGTGGCCGAACGGATTAGCGCCTGCCCAATGAGCTTCCCCATGTTCAGAAGCTTGATGGACTTTCCCGCCTTTTGGAGCATCGAGCTGTCTATCTGCTTGTTGAAGCTTGTCTTCATCGGACCGAAGACGGTGACATCGAGCAGTTGGAGCCCGTGACTCGTGTGAGGAGGTAGAGTCACGATATGGACTCCACTGTCCTTCGCCATCGTCAACACGTTCAGGCTGACATGGCTGACGCGATTGTCGAGCACCAAGACGACTGGATTGTCCTTGCTTGCCCCCAGGTGCTTCACAATGTGCTGCATCACCTGCTCAAAGTTTTCAAGGCGTCATCCAACCGCTGCTGTGACACAGCTGCAGCGATCCTCCCGGGGTGCCTTCCATCAGATTCTCCCGAAGAGTCTTCCTTGGGAAGACGTAGGCCGGGGGTAGGTATGCCCCAGTGGCAGTCACAGCGACACACATCGTGACAAGTTCACCCCTCTCCGCAGAGGTGACCTTCCCGACCTGTTTGTCTCTCTTTCCAGCTATAACTTTTCCAGGTTTCTGTACAGTCGTGAATCCAGTTTCATCTAAATTTAAAATCCTCGCACCTGAGACTCCCGTCTGTTTCAGGACCTCAGACAGGTTTCCGAAGAATTCCTCGACATTGTGCCTGTTGAAGACTCCAGCTCGCGCGATGGATGTAGCTTCAGGTTTCCGCAGTGCCAGCTGGGTGTTCCTTTTCACGAAGGCCTTCATCCACTCGCGCCTCGCTTCTTCATTTTCAGCCCAGGAGGCGGGAAAATGTTGGTCCTTTTTATCTGCCCTTTAGTAGGCAATTTCACGTGTTTGCTTGTGCAGTTAAACCATAGAACATTTTCGAGCACTGCATCACATATTCACTGAGGGCTTGCTCCTCGTCAGCAGTGAAGATCTTCGAATGACTGTAGTTGGGCTTAAGACGAGCTGCAGGATCGACACTGTGCTTTGCGACATACCTTCCAAGGACGGTTTTGCTCACACTGGGGTTCTGCAGCTTTTCTCAGACTCACTCCCCCTTCTACAACATCTTTGACAGCCAGCAGCACTGAATCATGAGATACGTCCGAGTACGCCTTTTCTTTTCTAACGTATACACGTGACATGGTTTTGAAAGAAGAAAAAAGGTGAGTAAGTTTCGATAAAAAACAGTTTGTCAATTTACAGGTATGAATAGTATTATGCACGAGTGACATTAATGGTTCCTGCAGGAGGATTGGGACATCTGCATGACAAAAGGGACGGGTGTCCCGATTCTCCCGCAGCGCACGCTAGCTACTAGACGAGTTCTCCGCCGTTCGTCAGTTGCCTTATATAATTTGAAATGCAAGCAAGAAAATTAGCATTATGTTAGCTTACAATGTGAAATAGTTAAAAGAAAAGGTGGCTTGACATGAACAGCACACACAACTTGAAATACCACTCGAAAAGTATAGTTTTTTGGCACTCACCCCGTACAGCGTTCCTGTGCACCGGACAGGACAGTTGATAGTTTCCAGCGTTACTTGATACAAAAAGGAAAAACGTTTAAGTACAAGTGGTGATTCGGAGCTGCCCATCTCTAAGATATTTGCTTGCCCCTTTCTCCTTCGTCCCAAGTTCTCCCGCCTCTCCCCTACTTACTGACGGGTGTAACTTTGTTGGCCTCCTGTGGCGCCCATGATCGGTCAGGTTCCGTCCTATCGGCCTTAGTGTCGTCGTCCTAGAATAACAGTCGGGTATGCGCCGATGAATTTTTACGCACAATTGTCGAACGTAATTTTACATGCTGCTGTCGTCGTATGTGTCATTTCCGTTCGCTATTGAGTGTGCGATAATTATTAGACAAGAGCATCACGTTCTTAATACATTTTGTATGCGAGGTATTTTGTATTTCTTTTTAACGAAAGAAAAATTATGTATTAGTCATCAGCCATCAGTTGATTACATCTCAAAGCCGCCTAGCCGTAAACAAGGCAGGAGTCGAGCTCATGTTTGATGTAAAGGTTGCTAGCAGCCAACACATGTTATTTTGCCTGCTGTTCCGAAACTCTTAGCCTCAATATCGCAGGATATAAGGTGACCTGTAGAAAATGAACGAGCTCAATGTAGATGCATGCGTAAGTTCTGCTGCTCTGGCGCCTCGCTTCCGGCTCGCTGGCGCACTCAGTACGTCCAAAGTCATCTCTGTACTTGACAGGCGCCGAGTCCGTTCGCCCGGCTACCGAACACCGTGCTAGACGGACTGGCGCCGAAGGAATGTCTAGCATTCTTCGACAACATCATTGTCCACGGCGACTCGATCAGTCGGGCCCAGCAGCGCCTGGAGAGAGTGCCCACGCGTCTCAGCAGCGCATGCCTCACTCTAAACCCGGCGAAATGCCAGCTGCTCCGAACAGTAGTGATGTACCTAGGTCACCGAGTCTCAAAAGACAAAATCGGTCTCGATCCAAAAGAAATCTGCAGAGAGTGGCAAACTGACCAGTGTCCAGATAAAAAAGTAGCTCTTAAGCTTCCTGGTGTTGGCTGGTTACTTTCGCCGCTAAAAGGCTGCAGCATTCGTCAAGCTGAAGGACCTGCTCACCTCAGCATCGGTGATGCTTTTGCCTCGATTTGAAGACGACGCAGCGCCTTTTACTCTGGAAACGGACGTATCCGAACGTGGGATAGGGGCTTACCTTCTGCAGGTGCAACACAGACGAGAGAGGGTGAAAGCCTACGCAAACGCTACCCTTACTAAAAGCATAAAAACTACGCGGTGAGAAAACGAGAGCCTCTCACGGAGGTCACGTAATTAACGCGCTCAGGCCGCGGCTGCGAATCAGCCGGCAGAGGCCGAAACTACGAATCCCACATTAGCCCAGGCCGCGGCTGAACCGCCTGACAAGCCGGCAACAGCAGCGATACCGACCCCGTGCCCTACCCCGGCACGCGGGTCACGTATCCCGCGGCCCACGTCACCACCGTCCCTCCGTTAACCTGGTGCGAACCAATGAATCACCACCAAGTCCGAGTCTCCATTCGAATGCGTCCAGGTCCCGGATCCCGGTGTCTGTAGAGCGAACGTCTTCGAACGTTTATCGCGACCAGCGGAGCGCCCGAGTCAGACGACCTCCAGATCGATTTAACCAATGGTTGCGATAGCTGCGCGCATAACAAGATTCATGTTGTATTTGTATTGTTTGTGTCAACATCTTGGTACGGTTAGTTGTAATGACGTGAAAGATATCGTTTAAGAGCCTCTCTTACTGTGCACGTTAAGTTAGATTCGTGAGATGTGTTCATGATGCCATGGATTGTTCATTATGTCGTGACCGAGTAATTCAATATGGAGGGTATTCCTCTTTTAAGAAGGGTGTAGTGTAAGGTGTCAGAGAGCACCTGTGTGCTGCTGGTGAATGTTTGCTCAGTTTGGCGAGCGCCGCTTCGAGGCGCTCGCGTTCCCCTCCTCCTGTCCCAGGCGCCCCGTGTGAGGGAGGCGACCACGGGGGCCAGGAGGGGGAGGGGGGGGGGGGGGGGGAGAAACAAAGGAGAAGACTCACAGAACCGTCCAGCCAGCGCGAGGACGGACGCGCCGGCGGGACGAACTGTGTGGAGTGCCCGTGACGCGTGTTAAATACAGAAGTGGCTTTGGATATGCTGAGTGTACCAGTGAGCCGGAAACGAGACGTCAGAACAGTAAAACTAACACATGTAGCAGCACATCAGCTAGTATTTGGCACACAAATGCAGGTGCAATGCAGTGCAATGGACAAATGCAGCGGCAAAATGCGATGTTCTGCTTTCTCTGCAGTAATATAGCAATGTGTCATGGTTTTGACTCGACAAAAAATAAAAGCTTTTTCTTAGAAACCCAGGGACGCAAATGAAAGTGGACTAAATCCGGAGATAAAGATGGTTTTGGGATAGGTTAGATTTTTATCCGGATTTTGCTCAATTAATTCCTACAGATGGGGGGAGGAGGGGGGACTAAAGCAGCCCCCAACCGAGTAGGAGAGTATTTAAAACCTACAGTACCCACAGATAAAACTACGGTCGTCGTCATGGTGAAGACGTGCGAAGGACTGGACTGGGTGTGGTTTTCAGCCATATATGCGCCACCAGTCGCATCCTCTGTCTCTCTGTTATTGCTGGGATACGAACCGCATTCTTTTACGTGCGAGGCAAGCGCTTTACCACTGAGCCAAACGTTTGTCCAATTAATGCCCATTGGTCTTTGCCTGGGCCATTGCTATGCTTGCATGTGGGATATGCAGTATAATTAGACGAATGCTAAATTTCTGTTACTTTTGCCTTTGTCCTACATAAATACCTGTATAATTTTGTATTCGTAAACAACGCCTCTGTGACATAGAACACCATGGTGGGCTTTCAGTAGCATGTATTTTCTCGGCACTTTGTCCTTACGGTGTCCTCAAAATACTACTGTTAAGTGACCGAATGAGATGGCGCCTCGATGGGGAGGGCGCATATGCATTGTGAGAAGGTTGAGACACGCTTGAGCCCGGGCAGAGGTACGGGAGGAGGGGGCTGAACGTATAGGTGAGTAGACCGTATCTTTAAGTGGTGCTCTCTGGTGGTCTTTTCTTTACCTGCACTGCCTCACCATTTCGGTTACAGGTTTTGCTATTGCCGGTGTAGACCAAACGACCTTGCACTCCCATGGCGTAGTCTGGAGACAATCTGAACCATCCGACACAATATTTATTTAATTATCAGCATATGCGTAAGATATCTTTGAATATGGTTAGCAAATTCATTTAGCTCTATTTGCCATGTAAGTACAAAATATGGAGGTTTAATCCTCCTACACCCACTCAGTCCACATCAAGCAATGTGACCATATGTGGTGTGGACTGACAGTTGTCCTTTGTGAAGGTAATGGTCGCAAACCCTTTCAGCTAGCTGCATTGCAATGCTAACACACAAAAATCACTGGTATTTCTCTCAACAGTTCCACATAGACCTAATTTGTGGTTAGCAGTTGTGTCAAAATTTGGCAGCTGTAGAATGCATGCTGGGCTTGAATGTCTAAAAATGTGAATCCCTCTGCTGTTGGTTCAGCTTCACAGTTTCAAAATTTGAACCCTCCAAACAATCAGATATGCCCCCATGCCTTTGACTTGGCTCCAGGTCTGACTGTAAAGACAGAATTCTGGTGGCGTTCCCATGCGGCATGCCAGGGAATTGTAATTAGAGTTATTGCAGGGTATAGGCATCCATTGGCACCTAATGTTAGAAGAAATAATTGTGCATCATTCATCGTGTTTGGCAGAACGTGTCGTAAATAATCATAAATCAGGTAGATTCATGCTCCTACCTAAAAATTTTAATAACCACTATAGCTCCTGGGCGCCGCACACACCCGCCGCCTTGACTCCCCAGTGCCGTTTTGTGTTATTGTTGTGTAGTTACAATATTTCTGCTTATCAAGAGCCATAAAAAATGTAGGGGCAAAAATAACAATAATAATGCAATGAAAAATGTTTCTTATAGCATCTAGGTATGTTAACAGAACAGGCCAGAATAGTCCAGAACATAGCCTAACTTAGCCTAGCCTAACCTAACTTAACCTTACCTAGCCTAACCTAATCTAACCCAACCTAACCTAATCTAACCTAATCTAACCTAACCTAACCTAACCTAACCTAACCTAACCTAACCTAACCTAACCTCCCCGCCCTATCCCCTTTAACCCAGTGTCCCAGTGGCATCCATGTTCCATGTCATGTATACGTACTGTATTAAAAAGTTTTGTTTAGCCGCCATATTCTCATTTTGCTTTTTATTCCCACCCAAAAACATCATATTTGCCCACCATGTCAACCAATCTACAAACAATTCGGAAGACTGCTTGGATACGCAAGAAACATATTAAATTGGATTCTTGTTACCTTGGCCTCATAATTTTTATGGTTCTTGATGGGCAGTAATGTGTGATCATGCGTAGCAATGGTGCCGGGGTCGCGGTTGCTGCGTGTTTGCAGCCCTCAGATGTTTGCTATCGTAGTTATGTAAGTTGCAAAATAAGAGTTTAGATGACCTGTTTTACAATTAGTTACAATATGTTCTGCCTTACAAATGATGATTGATGTACAATGCTCTTTTTTAACATGAGATAGCAATGTATACCCTGACCTATTGCAAGGTTATTCCCCACTGATGCCTTATTTGTTGTGTATGTTGCATCTTCGATGTTTAAGTGAAGACTGCAGGGATACTAGGGGTGTATTTTAATGGTAATTATACCCAAAAGTTAGTGTTTGAATCACTTTTAATGGTTGTGTTTGGGTGTGAAATGACCTAAGTTGTTGGTGAGCCCTAAACTCTGAATCATCATAATCATCAAGGGCTGTGTTAGCTCACAGTAACTTGTGCCATTCTTCTCAGATGCCATGCTTGGGTTCTCAAGAATAAATCACCCTATGACTTTCACATAGCCACCATCATTCACATTGTATACATTACTGCTACCCCATAAGCAGGTTATGCCAGGTGCCATGTTCTGGTTGAAAATATGGGCTAATCAGGGGCTAATCAGGGCCCTGGAAGTTTAATGCTATATAGCACCCAGCAAAGCACCCAAGCTTTGTTGTCCTGTGCCTCCTGAATTGAAATACCAGCAGCCAACCATAACATACATAATTCACAATTCTGTTTCATAATGTAAGGGTAGTAAGATTCCGTCTTCCATTTCAGACTGCTACCTGCTGTGGTAAAACACATCATCAATGAGTTCCAAGGCCATCATATCTGTAACAGCCACAGTCAGCACCCTTTGCCAGTTCCTGACTGGTGTGTAAGTATAATCAACATGACTGGGAGGAACTTGCTTGAATTATGCCATTTGCCCACATTTGTGATGTGTGCCATTTTAATGTTCTTGAAACTGCAGGTGGTGGGGTACATTGTCCATCACAAAATTTCATGTTATTCTGGAGCAAGAACCTGTTGGGGTCATAAGAGAGAACATGGGACATTCTTAAAAGTAATTCATGTTAGATGAGCCAATGCCATTTGTTTTTGCTTACCAAAGGCCTGGAGCTATAAGCATTTTTCAAAACAGGAATTCCATTTGTATTGTGCTACATGAGGTATTATGTCCAACCAAACACAGAGTGGCACCAGCAGGAGGAGGACAGGACATGGCTCATTGTTGTCACCATGCCTAGTCAAATGATAGTTTTTCATGTCCTCCCCTATGGAGAAGGCAGGTAGGCAATTTGCCTGCTTTCACTTAAGTTCAAGTTTGTCAGTGATTGAAAGACCAACTGTACTGTTAGAGGAGTGTGTGACATCGCTGGTCATCTTTGCCTATTTTACTGCACAGCATGCTATCAATTGCACATTTGTTTTGAGAGGTTCAAACTGGCAAGTGTGTTAAGATAGAATGGAGAGAAATGCCGGCAATCATGCCACGTCGCGTCACGGTAGTGGCCTGCAGTGGTTTGTTGGTGAGCGTGCAACTCGGGCCAGCTGAGGCTGTGCGTGGCCGGGCGGCGTCGGCACGCGTCCCGCTCCCGACAGGCAGCGAGCGCCCCTGACGCTCGCCGGGCCACGCAGGCCCATATGCCTGCAGGTGCGGAGGCAGGGCGAGGCCGGCGAGATATCCGGCCTGCCGTTCGCCGCCGGCTGCCTCGGGTGAGGTCCCAGCCGAGCCGCCCGTGTCGGCCGGTCGCGCTGTACTAGAGAGCGCGAGGTGGCTGTGCTGGAGTCGTCTCCCCCGACCCCGAGTGGATAATCTTTTGTTGTTGTTTTGCTGAAGTTTTCACAATGCATAATCACTGACCAGTTCTGGCGTCCAAAGGCAAAAAGGATTAAGTGCTATGTTAATCAATGTCTCTTAGGTCTCTTTGCTTTTGGACGGTAGAGTTGCATTGCGCTAACTGCTCTGGCTGTGTCGATGGGGCGTGCTCAGGATGTTCAGTCACGTGAGGTTAGTCTGGTTGCGTGCCCGATCTCTGCAAAAGGGATACAGTGTGGTCGGATATTGCTGCGTACAGCCACGAATAAGCCGCTCGATGATGGGTGTTTGTGTTGTCCATGTTGTGCGTGCTTCCGTGACCCGTGCAGTGCACCAGGTCACGTCCGAGGCCTTATCCCGTCCCCTTCTGGTTCCAGATGCTCCCTCTGGCTCAAGTACGGCCTGCTAATCGGGGACCCGGCCATGATCACCGTCAACTTTTCAGGCCTGGTTCTGCAGGCCTGCTACCTCGCCTTCTACTACCGCTTCTGCTTCGGTGTGGTCAGTGCAGGGACAGCTGATGGTTCTGGTGGATGGGGACACGACTGTTACCCGTCTCTTTTCTGTGGATTGCCATACTGTTCGTGCAATCTGGAGATGGGGCGACCTGGGCCGACCCCCCTTATCTTGATTCAGACTCCGCCCCGCTCATGCCACCCGGGGGTGTGCGTATGGGCGACTGAGAATCGGGAGCAGCTGTACACACCCGATCAGTTTAGAAAGCACTCAGCTGACAGTCAATTGTGGCGAAGTAGAGCCTAACCTGATTGGAAGTAACTTCATGATTAATCTCAGATATGTGTTATCATCATCATCACCATCGTCATCGTCATCATCATCACCGTCACCCACCACCAGCATTATTATTATTATTGTCGTCATCATCATCATCATCATCATCATCATCATTAAACAAATGTTCCAAACATCACTTGGCCTTATGCCTGGCGGGGCATAGCGGCAGATTTCAGAGTCCAGTGCAGTGCTTAAGTGCCCCGCCTACCTTGACCTGTACGTCCGTGAGCCTGCGGCGGCGGTGGGTCCGGCGCGTGCCCGGCGTGCTCCTCACGTGTGCCCGCCGCTCGTCAGGTGTCGCTGTCGGCGGTGCGGCGTCAGGTGCTGACGGTAGTGGCGCTGGTGTCGACCGCTTACTGGTACATGGACGTGTACGAAAAGGACCGGGCGCTGGCGCAGTACCGACTGGGCTGCGCCGCCGCGACCGCCAGCATCGGCTTCACCGCCGCGCCGCTCGCCTCGCTGGTGAGTCGGGAGGCGGACCTGCGGGGAGTCGGGACGCCCCAGTCACGGCCGGTGGGCAGCCGTGGGGTGTGGGGTCGCCGGCGATCTCCGTCGTGTCAGCTGTCAGCATAGGACCGTTGACGGAGGGCGACTCTCGGAGTGGGGAGCCGTTGAGTGTGGGGTCGCCGGCGATCTCCGTCGTGTCAGCTGTCAGCGAGGACCGTTGACGGAGGGGGACTCTCGGAGTGGGCAGCCGTGGAGTGTGGGGTCGCCGGCGATCTCCGTCGTGTCAGCTGTCAGCCGTCAGCTGTCGGCGTAGGACCGTTGACGGAGGGCGACTCTCGGAGTGGGCAGCCGTGGAGTTTGGAATCAATCACAATGTCGAGATCGAAAAGTGGCAGTCAAAAGTCAATGAAGAGTTAGGGACCGCGGCGTCGTGGAGTTGCTGACAGTTAAAAGCCTGAAAGTGTGGAATCAAACATGTTCGCTGGTGGTGGTAAATCAAAGACTAGAACAGTGTGGAGTCAGACATGTTGGCTGGTAGTGGTAGACCAAAGACCAGAATCAATGACAGTGGCATTGAGGCACGAGTCGGTGACAGCACGAAATTGGGACTCCGGAGCCAGCAACCGGGGATCGGAGCAGGCATCCAGTGACATGAAGGCCGCCTGCTCGCTGGGGCAACTTTAACGACGAGATCGGCTGACCGGGGGTCAACGACATTGAGAGCCAGAACCTGTGTCAGTGATGGTGAGGGGACAGACGCGTGCCGTCGGAGACAGCGGCGGAAGGGGAGGGGGTGTCTCTGAGCCCTTTACGGACTCGTTGTTGGCCCCCAGCCCGACTGGAATTCCCAACGCCTTGTCCAGGCGGGCTCCGCGACACCAGCTGGTGCTGTCCAGCTGGTGCTGTGTCCGGGCAGGGCCGCATCACCAACCATTGCTGTGTCCGGGCGGAGCCGCATCATCAACCGGTGCTGTGTCCGCGTCACCAGCAGGTGCTGGCGACGCGTTGTCCGGGCGGGGCAGCATCACCAGCTGTTGCTGTGCCCGGGCGGGGCCACACCATCAGCCGTTGTTGTGTCCGGGCGGGGCCACACCATCAGCCGTTGTTGTGTCCGGGCGGGGCCACACCATCAGCCGTTGTTGTGTCCGGGCGGGGCAGCATCATCTGCTGATACTACGTCCGGACGGGGCCGCATCACCAGCCGGCGCTGTGTCCGGACAGGCTGAGGTGATCCGCAGCAAGTCGACCGAGGTGCTGCCGCTGCCGCTCATCGTGGCCACGTTCGCAATGATGCTGCAGTGGTTCGTCTACGGCGTCCTCATCGACGACGCGTTCGTCCAGGTACGCATCCGCCGCAGGCGACCCGAGCTGGTGCGCAGCCGCCGGGATCTCGTCTGGGACGCCGAGGGGCGGCAGGCTCGCTGTGATCGCGCCGCTGCGCCGTGCTTGAGCCGTTAGTGCTAACACGTCCGGCTTGTTTGTGTATGCGCTGCGTTGAGTGAGCGGTGGGTGAAAAAACAATGCCCTAATTCAGGGCTTGATCTTGGGAGATTTACTGGTCAGATAATAACACTTTTCACATGTTTCGGTTATTGGAAAAATTATATCTGCTGGTGTACGATCTCTTCACGCAATTCATGATTGTTCTGTTCGATGTTGTGGCACGAAATATACAATGGATCCGTCCCTCTCGTCCTCTATCTTGCTTCATCCTGCATCCTCGCGACACCCCGCTTTATCCTCGCGACTCCCCGCTTCATCCTCGCGACACCCCGATTGTCCGGGGCAGGCTGCATGCTCCAGCCACGGCTGGGCCGAGAGCCCCGTGGAAAGGGGGACCCCGACCGAGCACCCAGCGCGCATGCGCGGGCTAAAGCTCGGCGGTTGGCCTCGAAGCGTATGCAAGTCTATCCCACCGTTAACCATTGTCCTTCGTCCCATAGCCCTGAAATGATCATTTCTGGTCGAAAGGGCTCTTATAAAAAACAAACATATAACGTCGCACGCGGCATCAGGTGACTTGTCTGCCGGCCTGGGGCTCTGGATAATTCCTGCATGTCGTTTTTCCATGGGGTGCCCTGCTATACTCACCGATGATGCCGGCCAGCGCCGATGAAATGCTATAAAGACTGGTCATGTTACGTTTCGCTGTCAGGTGAACCGTGCTGTGTTTTGCAGGTACCGAACTTGGTCGGCACGTTCGTCAGCGGCTTCCAGTTACTTCTGTTCGTGGTTTACCCGCGCACCAGGAAGCAGCACGTGAGTTAGAGCAGTCCACACTGACGACGTCACGTGGGGACACGACCATAGCCCGAATAAGGACCATCCTTGGACAAGAGCAGCGGCACCGGCAATGCCATCTGCCGGCCACGATGACTACTTGAAGTGCCTCCTGCCTCGCTTGCCAAGCCTTTGCTCTAGATGGGGGTGGAAAGAAAGTGTTTCGGTCCATGTGACTCAGGTCTATGTTTTGTTACTGAGAAAATCACTGAAGCTCCTACGCCACATTCCGACCAGCTTGTTCACTCGGTTAACGTAACAAGGCAAGGTGAACGTAACTCATTTAGCTAACTCTTCTAGCTTAAACTCATTTGACGGTCTCCAACGCGCTTACTCATTTCGCTCGCTCAAGAGATTCTAACGGCGCTTGGTCGTAGATTTGTTCATAACAGGACTCGCGATTGTGTTACTGCTGTTGACATTAAAAAGCTTATTGTAAGGGTTCGGCTGCTGTGCCATTTATGTGAAAACTCAAGTACGACGAATGGCTCAGACATACGGTGCCTTTTTGTGTAGACAACCGTGCGTAGTACTGGCTGTTTGGCTACCGAATATCGCTTTCACGTGTGATAATGTGACACTCAGCGTGGGCGGGACTGCACGCTCCCAGAATTATAGGTAGTCGTGGACTCTTTAAAATGTTAGCATGGATACGTGTGTTTATCGATCGCTCAACACATAGCATAGCCGCGAGTGAAACATGTAACGCGTTGAGAGTTAATTTGGTGTGTTGTTCATGCACTTCCTACATTTTCACATCAAATGACGGCGTACTTTAAGCGACCGCCAAGTTGAAACCATTCTCATGAACTGGACGGGGCGTTCGTCATGTCTCCAGTGCACTGGTGTGAGCATGAATAGTGCGGGTTCGCCGGGCGCCCTCTCCGAAGCTTGGGTGCGCGGCAGGACAGCCACGCCCATGGTCCGTTCGGCCATTATTGTCCAGGGTTTGTGAGGCAGCGACGGCTGCGGGTACTCGTCCAGATGTCACGCGCTGCTCCGTTGGGTATTTTTGCTTTGGGCAAATTGTAGCAATTTGGGTTTTCGTTTTGTTCGCTAATAGTGTTACGGCGTGACTGCGGCCGTACATAGTGCGTCGCGTGGAGCTCTTGGCCAGTTGGTGCCACTGAATGGAAGGACTGGAGGGTGATGGCAGCAAAGAATACCGACCGGCACTGTTTGGCTGTGCAGCCAGCCACCGACACAGATGGCCAGGCCAGTGACCAGTACCACCTCCAGCCGATCACGTCGGCAGCAGTTTTATGGGTTGGCAGGATTAAAAGGTTATCTGGCGAGTGTGCGCTGCAGGACTTCGTGGTTTGACGCAATCTGGCACGACAGACCTCCGAGCTCCATGTCGCTACAGTGCAGGGGGCACGTAAGTGCATCGTTTGCATTACATGGGCTTGTATCGTTCTCTATCCTGCCTAGTGTTTCCTTTTCGTTGGCTTGTTCGTGTCTTCGTTAATATTGCTGCTAGATGCTGGTGTAAGGTTCGTTTTTAACCGGCCGGTGGCAAATGCTCTTATCACGCGCTGTTGAGCACTGACCACGCGGTTGTTGTCATGTCAAGTTTCGCGGTTCTTGGACTAATATATTGGTTGGGTCGTGCATAATCTTAGTTGATTGTCCTTCGGAGTCTTGGCAATCATGCCTCGGCCTGATCAGAATGTTAGCGTCAATGCATTTGCCCGGGACTTCAGATGCCAAAGTTGACATTGATGCATGGCCACTTTTTATGATAACAGGCCGGGTATCTCCATGGAATACCATACACAACTGCCAAATTTATCCCGCTTGTTTAATGTGGAAGTGAAACGTGTTACGTTGTACCATGTGAGTACATTGTCCATAGAAGACGCTACACAAGTCCTACCGGCGTAGCCAAGCGCAGCTTCAGCTGTAGGAGTGTTTGCAGTTCCCGCTGCCGTGATCACTCAGAATGCTGCACTGGCCTGCGCTGACCACCACCTGTCTGGTGTAGCGTCGATTACGACGGTGCAATAATGGTCCTCCGCTGCCAACTGTCAAAATCGCCAAACTCCTCACGGCGTGTCGAAAAGTCGTCGGCATCGCTGTCGAGGAAGTCGTCGGAGAAGTCGTCAGATAAGTTGTCGGAGAATTCGTCAGAGAAGTCGCCAGAGAAGTCGTCAGAGAAGTCGGCATCGTCGCCGTTGAGCGCTGGACGCTCTGCAGCAGACTACTTGTCCACACCCGACTCAAACAGCAAACCACCGGTCCGGGCGTGGCAAGTGTTGGCCGCCGTGCGCTAACCGGCGTGTGGCCTGTTGCAGGTGGCTGCGGCCGTGACCCGCATATGAGGCCGGCGAGACCGGCCGGCGCCCGTGTCCCGCGCGTCTCGCCGGCCCCGTCGGCCGTGGCACGCCCTTCGAATGACATGACTCTAAAGGCGTGAGGCGCCACGGAAGCGTCGTTGACAGCTGCGAAGAGGCATGCGGCGAGAGACGCGCAGCGCCAGCGAGGAGCCCTCGCCGCTTCGAATCGAAACTCTAGCGCTGGTGGCGCCATTACATACAGCACTACGGCTGCGGTACTGACTGGCTCCAGTGGGCCGCGGTACGAAGACTCCAGGGCGGAGTCGTGCCGGCCCTCCGGCCTGCCCCTTAGAGTGCGCAGCCTGACGTGTCGCGGGACCCCACGGGCCATGGAACGGCCCCACGGCTGCGCGCTCCGTTTCAAAACCTCACAAGTACCTACTTTAAATATTAGGAGGGTAGAGAGAGCTTCCATGATGGTCTGGGCCCAGTGCCTTCTTCCATATCTGGCGGTACATTTCCCCTAGTACCTGTTGCATTTGCGTGCTGTGCCCAGTTGCTGGTACACATTCTTAAGCGCCATGATTTTACGCGCGTCGTATTACGGAGAATCAGGGCAAGACGGAGCATATATTTTAAACGTTGACGGGTGAGCGCCGCGGTATTCGTGTTCGTATTGACGCGAGCTGCCAGCTGTGATGAGTCTTCCTTACCGTGTGCTGGCAGCGCGTGTGTTTGTGCAAACGTGGGGGGGGGGGATGGTGCATTTCGTGAGCGGTGTTCCAAGATGACAGGGCGCGAGCTTCCACTCTCCGCTGCATCAGCGTGGTCGTGTTGGGTGCGTGACGTCATCGCGTCTCATGGATGGACGACGATGCTGCCGCCGGGTCCACGTGGGGTGCTCAACGTGTGTGACGTCGACTGTCACCGCTGTGATAGCGGCAGCTCCGCTCCACCGTGCTGTTGTGTTTTGTAAGTTTTATGATACACTGAGCCGAAGCAGTGACGTGTTTCGACCGACGGTTTGGGTAGAGCGCTCGGCGCGCGCCGCCGGCGGGCGGCCTCCTCTGCCGTGCGCCGGCCGCCTGGCCCACGTCTCTGGACCGCAGATGCCGCCGAGGAATGCCCCTCAACACGGGACAAGTGAAGGGACTTCCGTTGCGTCGGTTGTCGGGCTTCTGCCGGTGACGGGACAGTTTATAGCGCGGCGTAGCTCACAGCGCAGAACGCTGGCGTGACAGCCTCGCGCGGAAAGCTGGGGTTGGGGGGGGGGGGGGGCAGAGTCAAACTGTCTCCCGGCTAAGAGCGTCGATGTCCCCTCTGTAATCGTTGTGGAAGGTGCCGCCGCTAAATTGCCTCAGTGTTGGACGCGATATTGAACTCAATTCACATTATTGTATATGCTGGCCCACATGGCAAACGGCATGACCGATGATCGCTGCATTCTTGGATTTTCTCTACTGTTGCTGGGGATCCGTTCGTCATCTCCCTTCGTATCAGGTCGCATCATGTGACTTCTGTCTTAGGTCCCAGTCCTAGTTCCATGCACTCCACCCGGTCTCAGTTTCCACGTTGTGACATCTGTGTCTTCTTGGTTACCTGTATGCTGTTGCTTCTGCTGACCTCTTCCCCGCCACTAAACCCTGATCCACATTCGGCTTTCCCCTGGTATCGGTGTCTCCCTGACCTATGTTTGCCCACTCCGCCCCTCCCCTCTTCTCGGACCGCTGCAGTCGCAGGTCCGCTCCTCCCGCGCGGGCCGCTGTCGCCGACGTCTGCCCGCCTCGTCTGCCTCGGGGTCTGCCGAACGTGTTAGCGGCGTCAAAAAACAAACAGCGCCGGCCGCACCGCTGACGGGTGGCGGCACGGGCGCGGTGACGGCTCGGCGCCCTCCGACGGCACCCCGGGGACCGGCGCCGTGCACCCGGTCACCACCAGAGATTTTGGCTGCCGCCGAGTGACGCGGCGGCCGACAGCAGCGCTGCTGGGTGGCGCGGTGGCCGACAACGGCGCTGCTGGGTGGCGCGGTGGCCGACAACGGCGCTGTTGGGTGGCGCGGTGGCCGACAACAGCTCTATTGTGACGGGGTGGCCGACAGGAGCATTATATATATATATATATATATATATATATATATATATATATATCTCTCTCTCTCTCTCTCTCTCTCTCTCTCTCTCTCTCTCGTGGATGTGGGTGTGGGTGTGGGTGTGGGTGTGGGTGTGGGTGTGGGTGTGGGTGGGTGTGTGCGCGTGCGCGTGCGCGTGCGCGTGCGTGTGTGTGTGTGAAGATATCGAGTGCATGAAATCCGATAAGTTTTTCGTAACAGTCCCTTTCGGTGACTTACACGAATTTGATCCCCTCAATCCTTTTAAGAAATCGACATGCTAATGATTTTGTGTAGAAATATTTTGAATAGGTTGTAGGTAGGCATGCCTTCAAAGAGTGTTGTTTTGTGAAGGCTTAAGCGTACCACCAGCTATTTTCATCTCAACCTGTGTTGTCACACGGCATTCCATTATAGTATGCATCGAGAGAACGCATCCAGCTCAGACCAAATATGCAGTTTGTACCAAATTGTCATCCGCTTAAATCTCATTGAGACTTATTGGTATTCGACTAATTCATATTTCGCGTACCCGGTCAAAGACCAATAAGCCACTCGACTTGTTGGGTTGGACGGTTTGCACATCGCCAGGCAAAGCACGTCGTCAATATACATCTGACCTTTTAGCCGCTCGCTTTTTTAACAAGGCGCCCAAAGACATGGCGTAAGGCATTCGTTTTTCACGTTCGGTAAAATTACATTCAATTAGATCTCACTCGGCACTCTGTCCAGTAACTTGACGAGCCAGCATAAAACTCGTCGGTCGGTTGACGTACATCCGCTTCTCACTTACCACGAGCATGTATGTCGAGACAAACCACGGTCCGCCCGTTCGCACGGACTCTTCAAAAACGCCCAAAACGTGGTGTGTCGGGCGTCTTCACAAGCCAAACACTTCGGCGAGTCCCATCACGTCGAAATGCGACAGTCTGGCTTGCACAGTCTGCTGCCCAGTTAATAATTTTAGTTTGTACACGTTCACCAAATCATTCGCAGAATGCAGTTAGAAAACATGGTTGTTTGGTGAAGTTAACTATGTGAACTTTATGCATCGTCTTTTCTCTTCGGGAAGAGACTCAGTTACATCCAAGTAAAGTCACTTTGCCAGCAAGCGCCTTATTTGCCATGCAACTTAACAGAGGAGCCTGCAGGGACAATGCCGGCCACACGAATTCACTGTTTAGTTTACATACGGCTTGGCATCACACATCGACCGCCACCCAGATGAGGCATGCTTTCATCTTAAGGTGACGGTGATGTAGCCCATGAAGATGGACCTCATAAAGATGCGATGTAGCTCTCAGGCATAAGACCACAGCGAACACGGTCATGTCGCCCACGAAACGACTCGTCACGATGAGCTAATGCAGAACCACATCGCGGTTCTGCATTAGCTGGGTGGTTCTGCGTGAACCCTTTATACTTATTTCGTGTGGTCATCACGCGGAGTCGTTGTGATACGAAAAGTACTCAGGCAGTGGCGCGACGGCACATGTCTTACGGAAAAATAAGGCACTGGATGCAGAGATTGCGTTTCTGACAGATCAACGGCCTCCACACCAAATGGTAATCGGTTCCCGTCATCGCTGTGGGTAGGAGTGGCGCAGTGCCGTCTGAGTGAGACGGGAGCGTGCGAAAAGAAGTCCCCCGCAGCTGAATGACTAAAATCTGCCATCCTTCGCATGTATTCGAAAAAAAATTCCCCCTGATACTACTTGCACGCAATAAAAGTCACCCCACTCGCCCAACCCTGAACAAAACGATGCTGCTGTCCTCGTTCCCATGTACTGGTCGGTGGTTACCAGTTGGTCTGCTGGGCTGTGCCAACCTGCCAACCTGTGCCAGTTCGCCAGCCTGTCTCACGCCGTGTGCCGCCTGCTTTCTGATCCGGCTTCGGCCGCACAGTACTGCACTGTGCCAGTAAGTCCTTTAGTTGACTTGGATTCATCACTTGGTTTAATATGCCCTTTGTGTACTCTGCAATGCCGGACAGAGGTTAACCGCATGAAGTCACGTCAATAGCGTCACACACGTCATAACAGCAGTGCCACTCGAGCCGACCTAATTATCAAAGTGGGGGATGCTTCATGCAAAAATCAGCACAGAATGATCGCCACCAGAGGTAAGAGACCACGAATGTTGTTTCGACCAGCGGCGGATCCAGGCATTCTATAAAGGCTAGTGACAGCGAGGCCCACCACCTGCTGCAGGGGACCTCGAAATGAGCTGCTCACGTTTTAAAGGCTATGTTTTCTATTAATTTGATTCAGAAAGGTCTCGCCTCCACTTTTTCGTGTGATAGCTGTTTCCTTTAGCGACAACTCAGACCCCACTGTGCGCAGTGTAAAGATGAAGATGATGATGATGGAGATGAAGATGAAGATGAGGATAGCGATGAAGATTAAGATAAAGATGCGAGGGTGTAGAGATCGGATCGTAAAATTTCAGTTGGCTTATATCAATCTAGTTTTACCGGTCATCCGGCGATCTGATAACTGATCGAAAACACCAACTAAAAATCAGGTCTCCATAGTTCATGGATGTATTCCCAATGCTGCTAATGTATTTGGCCATATTACAGGTAAAACATCCGGCCATTAGCACAATAACTAGGGCTGCACCAAGCTGATCTTTGGACGCCGAAGCACCCACGGCTGGCGTTGCAATCTCCATGGCCCACAGGGCGTCGGTCTCCGCAGCTAACACCACGCGACGGCCAGTGGGTGCGCGAAAACGACCCTCCATCGGGAAATGGGGTTCGCCAATAATGTTCTCATTCAGAATTTGGGACCTCGGATTTTCTGGGGTGCTGATCTGATTTCTTGACCTCCCAGGTCGATCCTCCCAGCGGATCGACATGTACGGCAACGCCAACATTCTGGACTATACTGAAACTTTGATCTCATAACAGTACCCAAAAGTGGCATCTGCGAATGCCTGCTGTAGGTCTTTGTACCGTCATAACTGGGCGCATCTTCCGGTAATTGTGGTTCAGAGAGCGATTCACCACGGAAAGGAACACAGGATTGACACATTTTGCGGAACAGAACTAAGCAAATGACTTCCCAGGTTATCCGATAGAAGAGACTGCAGCGACCTTGATATTTAGTGTTGCAGCCCCGCTGGGAGGCCCATGCTGAATGGCCGGCTCAACGCAGGAGAGTCTTAGGCAATGTTACCGCGGCCAATTTCCCACCAGCAGGTGCACAGTTGTGTTGCAATACAATGCATGTGTGTGTGCAATGTTGTGGTCAACACAGCACCGTCATACGGGTTTTGTAATTGACGAGCCTTAGGCACATTCAAGAGAACATTGAACAGAAGACATCAGCGCCAAAACCAGCTCCTAACTTACAGCCCTGTTGTGCTTGAAAATGCCGCAAAGTACCTGAGATCTACATGTGATAGATTCATTGCAGGCCACTACATACTCGTTAGATCAAAAGCAATTTCACCTTTGTGTAATTCTGAAACAAAAGCAGATAATGAGATCCTTTCGCTGGGGGATACTGCTTGGATACTTTTTGTATCACACTGGCTCCGCGTTTCGACGTCCACTTCGGCTGATTTCTTCGCTTGGCTGAATTTGACTTGGCAGGCGGGTCAACCGAACTGCAGACGGCGCCGGTCGGACCTGTAGCGTGCGGCGGCGAGAGGTGGCTTCAAGGCAGAACGCACGAGTGATAAACAACTTGCAATGATGTTAATGCGCAGCTTCAAAGGAAAAATATCAATGATCTGCTTGTTTTCTTGCTGATTTAAAAGCCCCGGTAGCTTACATTCGTAAACCAATGGTGATTTCCGAGATCGGCACAATGGCATGAGAAATAATGTACTAGCCCCGTGCAATAACTTTAATTGGCTAGCGCCGCCACGGCATATCAGTTA